TGAAGTAGGATCTAGTAATTGAGTCTATCAATCTGAACACAACGTTTGTTGAGAAAAATTCTCATAATCTTTGTGAAAATAAAGTCTAGAGAAACACGAGACTTCGTGTTTATAGTTTTCAATAAACATTCTAAGTATTTGACTTCATTCATGTCTTATGCTATGATAGTGACTTAAAAATCTTATTATAGGACAAGACACGAGTGGAGTGAAGAATTACTAAGAAATCTGTGTCCAGGCTTAAGAAAACTTCAAACTTTTGCTTACCGAAGTGTAGAAACGTACCAATTATCTGTCAATTTTCAAAAACATTTTTTTTTTAAATGTTTCTGACTAATTATTAAAAAAAAGTGCTATGTCAGTGAAATTCGTAAATCGTTAATCGTAAAATACATATATTACATATAAATCTACCATTAAAATCTTTGTACCTACTTCATATATTTTATTAAATTTCTTTAAATATATTTTTACATCAAAATTAAAATTAACAGCATAATAAGAATATTATTGCATGATTAACGTTTTAGTTCGTAAGCAGAACACTTTAAATAATCAATTATATATATAGAAAAATTGAAAATTTTACATTTTTTTTTAAATTATCAGTTAATTGCGAAGCCAAGTTGACATACTTCATTATAACGCATTCAAATATTTATAAAAGTTGTAATTACATTTATTTGACGACAAACGTGCTGATCATACAATGCTTAATTTGATTGAATGAACTTCGCCTTTTTCGTTGGGCATTTCGAAGCATAAGACTCTAATTTCATCCACGCCTCGCGTGAAGTCGTACTTTCCGTGCCACAGCTCCCTTACGCTCATGGATAAATTTTCGTCTTCTACTTCCCATTGCTCCAACTTTGTTACATCGGCCAGTTCTGGCTTATGTCCACCTACATAAGGCCAAACCTTATTCTTTATGAATAGTGCTTGTGCATGAACCTCCAACTATCAGTTATCGAGGTTCAAATTTCATACTCAAACTCACCATTTCCTTTCATAACAGTTCTACAAATTTACCAAATTTTCACTTTTTATAGTTTTATTTTCAATTATTGCGCTGGGCTCATAACCATTGTAGAGGATCACAGTGGAAATAAACATTTTTAGAAGCATAATGTATAATCACAAATATATTTTGTACGTACAGATACAAAACGAGAAAAAACAATTTGATGAGAGATTATAATATGAAAAAAATAACCACATATACATATTGCAAGAGACAAATTTACATATTGAAAATTTATGTCTTGCCATATGTATAGAAAGAAATTTCAATAAACACACTTGTATAAATATAATAATAATATATTATAGACAGAAGATAAAAACTTATTTTAATCATGTAAACTTTCATTTTGTATTAAATATTCAGGGCTGCTGAAAGAGAAAGCTAACAGAGTTAAGCTCGCCTGTTGTATATCTTTGTTCAAAATTAATTATAACAATTTAATTTTTGTGTACAATAAAGTAAAAATAGATAAAAGTTTATAATATTATTTATATATTGTATAACAAATAAATAGGAGACTTTATACAAAAGTCAATTGCTTGGGTACCTCTATCCCATTCGTGTTTCTACCATAAAGCAGTTGTGTTTGCATGACTGTGTTTCGGTTTGAAGGGTGGGATATGGTGTGAATTTACAGGGTACAAAGAAATAACATCTGAGTCCACAGGAATGGCAACGCTTGGGGAGTATCATGGGCGAAAGAGTATACTTTGTTATGTCCATGGTACTGATCATGTCTATAGGCGACGGTTACCACTTTCCATCAGGTGGGCCATCAGATTGTTTGCCATTCTAAGTTGTATAAAAAAAAAAAAGGTAAAATTTGTTTGTATATAGAAATCTCTGGAAATACAGAAGCTGAACCCATTTTAAAAACTATATTACTAATAGTAATAAAACTAAAAACTACCATAGCCTCAAACAATAGGAGTATCTCTCACAAAAAAAAAATATTACTAATTTTATGTACTCATATGCTTGTTTGTTATCTTCTGGTGTTGTTTCTTGGTGTTTGATCGCTTAACCAACAGTCATGAATATAGGGGGAAATTCGCATAAATATAGGGGGAAAGAGAAGAAAGGAAGCTACTTTTTACCCTTGCTACATAAACGAAATTGCAGGTAAAAACTAGTGCCACTGCAAACAGCTAGTAGATAAAAAAATGTTAATGAATGAACCACTTGAAAACATGCAATAATCGAAAACATTACCACCTCAATATTATACAATGGAATGATAATACTGACCTTAACATTCGTTGACAGATAATTGTGTAATTACATGTTGATTGATTACTTCAACACATCCAACATTCGTTGACAGATTAGAATAAGGGTTTATTCTGTTATATAATCCATTACATTACATATACATATATATATATACAGATATATATATACATATACATATATATATATATATACGAGGTAATTGTGTAATTACATGTTGATTGATTACTTCAACACATCCATTAAATAATCATTTCACTATTATGAATATTGATAAAGTTACATTAATAACTTTAACTTTCACATTGCATAATGCAACATATATACTTACTTTTTTTAATTGATAAAGTCATATGTATTATGGTTATATATATTGGTAAGACATTTTCATTTTGTTTTTATTTGTACACAAGTCTATTTAAATAAAGATTATATGTATTTTATTTTTAAAATTAAAATTTTAATTTGATTAAAAGGCAAGTTTCTTTATCGAAAGCATTACATAATGGATCTCCGAGAACTAAATGCAAACTAGTTCTAACTCTATTATTTAATTCACACTGATCCTTACAATAATAATTTTGATGTAATTATCAAACTTTAATATTAGTCTTAAATATAGACAGTGTTTCTAGATCATTAAAGCTAATATAACTTTTGAAATATTAAAATAATCCATAGTTTCCAAAACTTTTTACATTTATAGTTTCAGGCTAGCCAGCTGTATATAATATTGTAATAAAAATTAATTCCTAATAAGATAATGAGATTATTCAATAGCAATATCTAGGGTGATATTAATATTGAATAAACACTAGAGAATTTTTTATTGGAAATAATACTAACAGTGAAGTGGTAATCCAAAATTAATAATGTCAAAATGTAATGTTTTTAGAATTAATATATTTTATGACATCCTTTACCCAATATTTTTATTTATTGAAGTAATTTTTTTTTAAACATTTTTAATAGTTTTTTTTTTTATTTATTCTGTCAGTCAACAGTTTAATTAAAAGAAAATTTAATCTATATTAGACTATGAATGAGGTACATAATCAATTGAGTGTAAATGATGATTCTGATAATATGATGTAAATAATGCTCTTGTACAAGATTTTTTATATAGAAAATAAAAGATATAGAATTAAAATGTTTACATTAAATTTTTAGTTAGTTGGTATAAAAATTATTTTACTATGTAACACAAAAAATGGGATAGTTATATTAGAAACAATTTGTACAACTATTTTATAAAACTAGAGGTATTTTGTAGTTAATTAGCAATTAGTATTTAAAAATAACCATTTATGTATTTGAAAGGGAATAAAAATTAAATACTTTAATAGATATTGCAGTTGAATAATTAAACATTATTTTATTTGGTATATATACTTAAGTAAAAACTGAAAAAAAAAATTTAACATAGAACATCTAAATTTAAGTATATTTAGAAAAATTTAATTGCAACAAAATAGGTGTTAATCGAGGTGAATTTAAGTTAAATAGATATTGCATAATTTACTTGGTAGACAAAGAAAACAAAAAAAGAATACCTATACTGTCTAAATTTAAATATACTCAGAAAAAGTAAATTTATACAAAATAGGTAGGTATATATAATAAAAGCATTGTAAATGGTTAAATACTTTTGTTAATATACAATATGTTAAATATTTTAAATACATAATTAGTTGGATCTATCCAAAATAACATTATCATGTCATATTTTAAGTGTGATAGTTTGTATAATAATAAATAGATAAAATTATTATACTAATAAATTATAATAAAAATAAATTATTCAATAAGATATAAATAAATACTACTTAATTTGTTTAGAAATGCTGAAATTAATATTAAAATGTAGGTTCTGTGTCTAATTACAATTTGCTACTACTTCACACTAAGTTTTAATAATTGATAAAATTTTGTATATCTATGAAAAAGCTGTATATCAGACAGGAAGATGGTATTGTTAGTAATGGGGATTAACAGTTCCATTGCTAGCAATATACTCTGTCTGATAGACTTCCATATGATACCACTGGAATCTATCATGATTATTTTATGTTGAATTTGACATAATAAGGTAACAGACCTGCTTTCTTCTCTATTAAATCTTAACAGTGACCCACCAGTGTATACCGATTGCTCAGGAGAGTTTAGAGACTATTTTATAATTGTTTTTATTGGGTTTAGATTTATAAAGCATAAATATTAAACTTAAAATAAATGAAGGTAAATTGTAATGAAGATTAATTTAATAACTATATCTAAATAACAATATAGTGTTAAATGGTTTTATTTGCCACAGTTGTAAAGTTAATTTATATATAAATTAATATCCAAACATCCAGACTGTTATAAAATATATAAAATATATTAAATAAGTTCTGTTTCCTGTGGCCCTTGATTTATATATACATATCTATTTTATAGGAAAATATTTCCTTTATTTAGTTTATAAAGTCGTCAGTGGGCAAATTCAAATCTTCTTTTCCTATAAATTTGAGTCATGCCTAAAGAAAATAAGACCAAAACAAGGGGAAAATATCAACACCAATATGTTTTAAAAATAAATAAGAAAAAATACTGGTGTAGGACCAAAATTTCTACCTTGTTCAGACAATTAGAACCAGAAGTAGCTTAGTAGTTAAAAGTAGGCTTTACAGAAGAATTATGATCAGCATAAACCTATAACCATTGACAATTTATGTATAGGATATATATAGTAACATTCGCTCACCTGGGCCGATTCTGCATGTAGTATTGTCCAAAGAAAATGAAAGCCATGTAAACGCCAACATAGTAGAATGCTACAGTCCAGTTTTCTGTCATCCATTTTCTATAGTTATGATGAATAAATTCGTTTTCAAACTCGAATATGTACGAGTAATTCGGCGTTACGTCCAAATTGTAGTTAATTTTCGAAGCCTCCATTATAATTTGTTTAAATGTCCTAGACACTGAAATGAGCTGCCACAGTCCGATTTATCACCTCTATATCGCCACACTGATCATCACAATTTATAGGATTTAACCTAAAATTATTAAAAAGATACGGAGTCGCGCTATCTATATCACAGATGACAAAAATGTCAATATTTCGAATAAGAGGCGAACCGTACTGCTTTAGTGAGACTAATTTGTGTAATGACCGCGATATGTGTTCAGTTTGACTATTTATTCGGAGCGACAAGGCACCGCCGGAGACCGAACATACGCTATCGCGATCCGTCACTCTGATAAATTGAAAAAATTAAATGAACCCGACCAGAGGACTAAACGGCGCCACGCTGTTTCTTGAATTTTATTCATACTTCTACAATTTCGGATCATTTCTGACAGTTACCCCTCTCCACCCACCTCTCACTCCATAGATTAGGCAATGGCATTCTCTTTCTAGATTTCATTTATACGATATCATAGATTAAGAATAATAAAATTTATAGATTCTTATACTCAACATTATTAATGTCTACTGATTGCATAGAAAGAAATAATGATTTCAAATAACTAAAACTAAAAACGAAAACTGAACCAGTTTTTAGTCTAATATTTTTAAATTAGAATGATAGAATAACAGTACATCTATTATATATACAATATCTATGCTATATATTATGGCCAAAAGATTTAATCACAGAATTATGTGTTTGTGAATTTAATATATGTAATTAAAAAAATAGATAGGTACCTACGTAAATGAAAAGAACTCAATATATTATAAAAAATAATTAAATCTAAGAACAAAATCTGCCAATGCAAGTAATTATTATTTGTTCTTGTGAATACAAGTAGCATTCCTTTATTTAATTACATTTATACGATAATAAATTTAGCAATTCCAAGCTATAAAAAAATTACCGATTTTTATTGCTTTTGTATGTAATTGTTGTCTTTTCTTCGGTAATCATGTAACCTTAGATTATACATGTAAAGTAGTATTTAAATGAAATTCTTTATTGTTATAATGTCATACTAAGGTACCATAGGATAAATAATGGTACTATAGCATAAGAATAAAGACTAAGTAGAGGTACACTTCCGACAATTTAATAATAATTCCGCGTTCGTAATTCGCTCCGTCTGCAGGAATTTAATTCATTTATCAGCGCGGTTGAGCGCCGCTTAAAAAGTATATTTAATGGTCAGTTACTAGATGGCGCTTTCTTTTTGTTTTATTTTACCTATGTCTCTAGATATTAATATAATTTCCTAACGTGGGGCCCACGCCCCACAGGGGGGCAAATTTGATAGTTAAGGGGGGCAATTAAAAAATGAACTCGAAGCGATTTTAACCCTCTTGCTTCGGGTCATTAAAATGCAATGTTACGAGTAGATATCGGTGCAAAATTTAACAAAAAGAGTAAATTTCAAAAAATGCTGTAACTATTTATTAGGTATAATTTCCTTTGACGTTATCAAAATATCAACTGGGCGATTAGAGTTGTCAAGTAAATTTTGTCGGGAAAAATTATGTATGAGGGCATAAAAAATTTTAGAAATGTTCAAATAGGGCATGGCACAAAAAAGGTTGGGAAACATTAGTGTAAGGAGTACAATATTTATTTAATAATCATAAAAATATTCGTGATTTCTCCTAGGCAGGTACCATACTTAAGCTACTACCATCATTCACCTTTAATTTGTTAGATTATATGTGTTGTTGTCTCCTCTAGCAGTTTTTTTAAATGAGTGAATATGGAATGCGTTATACACTGGCGGGGCACCAGAAAGGGATGATCGATGATGATGAAGCAGGTCAATTGGCCCATCATGACCAATTCAACAATAAACCAATCACGGTGGTTTTTAGGAGGAACCGCGTGGAGGTCGACCTATTAGAGTATATTGCTAACAATGGGATTGTTAATCTCCATTACTAATAATCTCTTCTCCCCCCCGAACAAATTCATTAAGTACGTGAATTTAAGGAAGTATTGAGTTCACCTATTATCCTTCACTGGTGCCCCGCCGGTGTATATCAATAGCGCGGGTGGGGTTATCATTCCATTATCAACCATTAAAAAAAATCAGTTGTACAAGCGGTAGAACACGCAGAGTGAGGCAAAATTTCTCCTAAGACTTAAGTGTTCGATACCGCTTGTAAACCTGGAGTCATCGACAATTCTCGATCGACAAAATTCACAAAGATAGCTCTGAACGAGATTAGTAATGTAGTGACACTATTGTATTTAGATTAATTTGTACCTGTAAAACTAGTGATAAGTGTGGAAATAAAAAAAAAAAATAGTTTTTGGAGATTTTCTGATAATTATTCAAACACGGTGCTAGTTCAAAACATCGTTTTATTTTTTTTCTGTAATATACCTTTATAAACTGTAATTATTTCTGATTTTTCGTGTCACAATCTTTGGAGTTAAGAGGGGAATGATATTTTTTCACACATATACGATGATAAGTCAAAAACTACGCAATGTAAAAACTCATATTATATTAGCTCCATTTTGAAATTTTGATCATCCATTTTGGATCTCCTAGCAAAAGAAAATAATAATGTTTTTCAACTATTTCCATTGTAATATGTGAGGGCCTTGGGGGGAAAAGGATTGTTAGTAGTGGAGACTGAGAATCCTATTGCTAGCAATATACTCAATCAAGTCGACCTCCTCGCGGTTCTCCCTGGAAACTATCATGGTTAATTCCTGATGAATTCATCATGATGGGCTAACTGGCCTGTTTTTATTCTCATCTATCACCCTTCACTGGTGCTCCGCCAGCGTATCCCGTTAGCGCAGGCGGGGTTACCATTCCATTTTTACCCATCAAAAAAAAAATGTGAGGGCCAACTATATGTGAAACTATTCCAATTTACAAATCGATAGATTTAGTAGTTGATGAAATATAGCGCTGTGGGGGGGAAAGGGATTGTTAGCAATGGAGTCTGACAGCCTCATTGCTAGCAATATGCCCTATTAGGTCGACCTCCACGTGGTTCTCCCTGGAAACCATCGTGAACAATTCTTGTTGAATTCGTCACGATGGGCCAACTGACCTGCTTCATCCTCACCTATCATCATTCACTGATGCCCCGCTAGCGTATCCCGATAGCGCAGGCGGGGTTACCATTCCATTATCACCCATTAAAAAAAAAAAATTTAGCGCTGTGACGTTTGTAATTTTGTACAAATGGACAAAGTAACATCATAAGTGTTCCTTTGTACCCTACCATGTATGGAAAACCAAACAGGGTAATTTTAAATACAGCCTCCCTTAGCCTATAGACAAAAGGAGTGAATCCTCTGTTTATGCGCATGAGATTATCAATTGAATAAAGTAATTATATATTATTTTTGTATTATTACATAGATAGGTAATGTAATTAAAATACGCTTAATATAATATAATCATTTTAATGTTAGTACGTATCATTATTAAATTTCACATGCATGCACATGTTATCATTATGTATTATTACCAATAGTAGTAGGTAATTATATTCATTAACAATAGCTTATAAAGTCAGTCATAAAGTTTTTTTTTTTATCAAAATTACTGTTCAATATTTGTTTTACTTACGTATCTGTTGTCAACCGATCATTATAGGTTTTTTTTTATACAACTTAGAATGGCAAACAAGCTGACGGTCCACCTGATGGAAAGTGGCAAACGTCGCCTATAGACATGAGCAGTACCACGGACATAACAGTGTATACTGTTTCGCCCATGATACCCCCCATGCGTTGCCATTCCTGAGGACTCAGGTGTTATTCCTCTGTACCCAGTAAATTCACGCCATATCGCACCCTTCAAACCGAAACACAGCCATGCAAACACAACCGCTTCACGGTTGAAACACGAATGAGACAGAGGTACCCAAGCAATCGACTTTTGTTCAAAGTCTCCCTCTGGTAAAGGTATTTATAATTTGGCATACACGCTGTTAATATTTGAAATAAAAAAGAACATAGGCTACTTATGTATTACCCCGACCACGAGGCTGAAGTCTCGGGCACATTAAATATAATTATATTTTTATATTTATTCTTAGAGAATACTGATCGAAACATATAATTTCTATTAATTTATTAACAACACTGCCACGCTTTAAAAACAATTTGAATTATGTTTCTTAGAACCAAATTTCCAAATGTTGCCATACCGCTAAATCTTTTAAATAATTCCCTCCCAATTGGTAGTTTAATTTGAATTTTGTCTGTCATTGTGGAAGTGTGCATATCTGTGTTGTTAAAAAATGTGTACATATAGTACGACGGGCTGTCTCCAATATTAAGAACTTTGTGGAAGGAACCAGAAACCACTTTGATCCGGTTTCCACTGGTGAGGCGTTGAGTATGTCCTCGCTTTTCGCTTACCTCTGGTTCATAGGCCACATTACCTTTTAGAACCGTTAGCGTGACGTTGTGTAACTCGGTTGGAATATACTTCTCTTGTACATAACCTGAAAAATATAATTCTTCTTAGGCTTCGCCTGCGTGAATTAGTACACAGAGTATCTTATGTGTTAAGTTAGGATATAATTTGTTTGTGTATCAAATTTTATTCAAATCCGTTTGGTACATTTTGCGTTTAAGAATAACAAATATCCATCAATTCATCGATCCTTATAAACTTTCGCATTTCTAATATTAATAGGATTATTCCTTTTCTTTCCCATTTTTTAATGTTTAACAATGAAGTGATAACTCCGTCTGCGTTATTAGCAGGGTATCAGTGAAGGGTGATAAATGAAGATGAATTTGAGGTTGATGTGAATCAACTAGTCCCATTATTAACAATCTAAGATGCATAAAAAATCCTTTTCGCCATCCTCAGTAAGTAGTAAGAGGTAATTAGGGGGGGGGGGGGGGCAAAACACATGCATACATGCAAAGTAACAGTAGGTCCTCTATCGGTGTTCTACTCACGCGCAACAGTACCTTAAAGATAAGAGTTGTGAAGGAATTTCTTTGATGCAATACTGGACACTAAAGTAAATATGGTTTTATATACTATTTATAGATTAAGGTATTATGACACCATATTTTGTAATTTCACTGCCACACTCCTTCCTTCAAATTGAAACATATCATATCTACGAGTAGATTCTTTCAGATTAATACTTATAGGATTTGTGTAGCATACATTTATGTGTCTTTATATACGAGGTTTGTCCGGAAAGTACGTATAAAAGTTTTTTAAAAATTTTATTTTACAATTATTCAGGTAAATCAATTTTATCCCCTTCAAAGTACTCCCCCTGTGACATAATGCACTTGTGCCAACGCCGACTGTGAGAAGGCTCCTTGAAAGTCCTCTGGTTGTAGGTTTCTCAGCTGCCCCGTCGTAGCTTTTTTTATCTCATTTATGTCCCCCAAATGCCGCCCCCGAAGTACCAATTTGGTTTTTGGGAACAAGAAGAAGTCACACGGGGCCAAATCCGGCGAATAGGGGGTGTTCGGTCACCGTAATGGAATTTTATATACGGACAACAAGAGAGGTGTGGGCAGGGGCATTGTCGTGGTGAAGAATCCAACGCCCCTCTCGCGCCAATTCTGGACGAACTCGTGCCACACGAGCTTTGAGGCGTCTGAGCACATCGACGTAGAATTTTCCATCAACTGTCTGGCCTGGAGGGACGAATTCTTGATGGACAATCCCCCGAACATCGAAAAAAACAATCAACATTGTCTTGACATTTGAGCGGGATTTTCTTGATTTTTTTGTTCGTGGTTCCCCGGATGTCTTATCGAATTAGATCGGCAAAAATTTCACGGCCATTCTTGCCGAGTTTCGAGAGAAACTATTACGACGCGCTGCTCTTCAACGGAAGCGGGCTCCATGCCGACGGGGTTTCGTTAAGAGGTAACTTCACAGATGGCGTGACAAGCCAGTTCGCACTTATCAGACCAGAACTGAAGCATTGTTAGGGACATAAGGAAGGGGTCCTGCGCTTACATTTTTCTCGCATTCCAGAACACTTTATATACAGACCTCGTACCATTATTCGCCGTGTGGTCCCGGCATAGAATAGGCCACCCCTTCCTTTACCGTGGATCTCGTAAGAGACGACTGATGGAATTTAATGGGCGAAGAATAGAAACCCTCTTAAAACATCACAAAAGTCTAACTGCGTTTGCAACCTTGCCTGCCAAGCGTAACAATTACAAGCAAAATTCCCCTTATGGACGACGCCTATGTTCAGCAGGGGATGGTGAACAGCTGATATGGTGATGATGATATAACGAGATATCACTATTGCCCGTTAGGTGCCATTTTTATTACATACCTGGAAAATCCACTAAGAACATAACATCGCTGTAATTGTTCCAATTTCGAACTTCCTTTCGTATTCCATCTAGAGTGCTCCTCCAATTCAATGCTTCGTCCAAAAGCGGTAGCAGATAAGATGTCTTAGTGAACGGAGACCAGTAAGCTGTCAATATATCAACATTAGGATCGAACATACGCTGCGTGAATCGTCCGTTTAATGAACACCAAACATCTATATAAACAGACAAATTGTTGGACAATACCGACTCTGTCTGACTCAGCCTTTTAGATACGTCAATTACATTGTCTCTTAAACATCTGGCATATTGATGCACCATGTCTCCATGTCTCGTCCACCTGTCATTAGGCGTATAGAGTTGGGGATCAACGTAAAATTCTTTGTTCTTCTCATTGTCGACGACCTTCACAACAACAGAGTACGTGTCCCACGTGTGCACCATCATATCCCAGGAGTAGCCGTACAGACCATTTGTCCAGTTATTATAGCCCTACAAAAATAGATTATGTTTTACATTTAAATGAAAGAAAATTTAAGATATATATAAAAAGGACACTCTGTACATAAGCATATGATAAAATAAATAACTATCTAAATGACAAAACTGCATGGATTTGAACATTGTATTAATGTCAATTGTATTGTAAATGTAATTATTGTAATTTTTTAAAATTAATATTATTTTATATAATAATTATTATAATTATAAAGCGACGTATCATAAGAATCTGTAACAGATGTATATGAATAAAGATGATTGATTGATTAGGTACATTATTTAATAGTGACCAATCCGGCTTCTAATGAATGTAAATTGTATATAGGTACACTTAAGAGAAGAAAGGGATTTTTAATAGTGGTCGAACGTTCCCATTGCTAGCAATACACTCTATCAGGTATCTCCACACGGTCCTTTTTGGAAACCATCGTTGTTAATCCCCGTTAAATTAATTTCTATGGGCCAAATGACCTGACTTTATCTTCACCTATCATCACTCATTAGTACTCCGCCAGTCTATATTGATAGTGCAAGCGATGTTCCTTTGATATTTAAAAAAAATCGCAGTAAATATAGTAACAATGAAAAACTGTATGGTAATCCATTGCGTTATTTAGAAGTAAACATAGATATAAACAAACGTCGAGAGTGGCTTTGTTTTGTATAGTTTTAAAAATATGGTAAATATATCATGATATCGTGATAAAGGAGTACTAAGCTCAGTACCTATGTACACTAGTGCAAGAAGAAGAAAATTTCGAATAAAACTCAATATCAAGCCACCTGAGAGGCTAAGAAGCCCACTGCACACGAATCGCAATAGGATTTGCTAGATAAAACTCGACAATGTAAATGTGCTATCTAATTCGTTAACATTACGCCTTCAGCTCTAGAGTTAGAAGCCTATTAAAAATTTGTTGGTTTTATATGGTCGGTTTAATTGTAAGTGGTTATTGTAGCTTATGGAAGCCTGTAACACCAAGGATATCACACGCGAGTTGCTGATCTTCAAGAAACCTTATTACGCCTTTTTTACTCATGCCATAGTCTCTGGGGAAAAACTGGGCAAGAAGGTTATTCCACAACCAAAATGTGTGGAGTATTCGTGTAAGGTAGTTCTTTTAAATCGCCAGATCCATATGGTAATAGTACGCTAATATCCTTGTACAAAAAATTTCATGCTTAAATATTAATGCCATTCTAACCGTTAAGCATGAAGTTGTATTATGTACAAGCGAAAAATCGCTTACGCCCTTACCCATAAATTATGATATTAATTTATTCTTTGTGACATATGTAAATTAAAAAAAAAACATGTTCAGAAACCATGAACAAACCTTTGTAATAAAATGCGAAAAAGGTAAAAAAGCTTGGCTCAACACGTGAAAAATAATAATGTACATTGTGATTCTTTGGCGCGTATTAATTTTACAATGTAAAGGTATTTCAGATGACGCATTTTGCTCTTCATTATCATCAGCAATAGGATGACATTCATTATTTTCTGCTTCAGTTTTCATTATATTTGAATCTGTTTCTTCTGTGATATCCGTAGATCCCAAGACATTGCCTTTAAGTTCTTCAACAATTTTTTCCATGGTTCTTCTCTCGTCCGCATTTTTCGTATTATTTGTTTCATCTTTACAATTTTCTTCGACTTCTAACAAAATAGAGCATTGACCTCTAATTGTCATAAGATGTTTATTAAAACGTGTCATTAGTTCTTTTGGCCAATTGAATGAGTAATATAACGGCATAGTGGCGAGACAGACCCAGGGAAACATACCTGAAATATTAGAACTTTATAAAAATAAAAATGATTTTGTTTTTAAAGTCACAGATTAATTTTCATTTTGGAGTTAAGTAAATTCGAAAATTTGAAATAATTAAGATTGTGTTCAACAAAAAAAAAAATAAACGATTTATATGGCAAAATCAGTTATTTTGATTTTAAATCTAAACTATTGAACCGATTTTGATAAAATTTCTATGGGACCAATCTTTAAAAGGTAAAAAAAGAGTTTTCCCAAATCGGTTTACAACTGACGGAGTTATAAGGTTACAAACATAAAAAAAAATCGAATAACAAAAAAAAATCACGTTTAGTCCCATTTTGAGCAATGTATATATGTTTTGCGTTTTAGTTTCAGTGATATTACATTATATTCTTCATAATACTCTTTATTACTGCAGCGGCCAGTAACTGAGGCATTAATGGACGAACGTGCAAATATGGGTCGAGGCGTAGCCGAGGCACACATACGTGAGTCCATCAATGCCTAGTTGTGGCCAAGGTTTGTATAGTACTTTTCTCAAACAATGCGCGGAAATCAAAAACACAATTTTACTTTTTAAGTTTCATGACGACAAACAATAATAATTTTTCACGCGCCATAATGTTCCTTTGTTTTTTTTTAATAAACGACTTTCTATTTACAAGCCAGTTCGATATTTAAATAAAATCTTTTATTAGTTACTTCCTTGGTAGCCATGTTTCGAAGTAAAAGGTCATTCCATTTTTAAATTACAGGATAGATATGAGTTTACATAGTAATTTATCTGGCCGCAAAACACGACACATATGGATTTTCTTGCAACTTTTGCCGGCCGCTGCCCGCATGTATCTGGCCAGTACGGCAATTTTGATTTATGTCGAAGAAGATTGTCAAAATAATGCTTACATTTCCAAGCATGTTTGAGAAATATATATTTATGATAATAACCTTTTTACGAGTATACAAACCAATTCTAAAGAGTCTGCTGTTCATGAGATGAAATAATGCGCAGAACACCATGGCGACGTGGCGACTCCGCGACCACATCATCCATATGGCCACCGTAAGATCGAAAACGAATATAAACCAGTGTACGATTATATAATCTATTTGGGGGATTGTCAGGAACAACCTAGGAATGATACATAAAAAATATAGGTATTAAAACCATTAAACTAAATAAATAAATACAATAAATAAACAATATAATGAATAAAAATGTAATAATAAAAAATACAGAACGGAGTATACTTTGTTGCCTATGATACTTTTCATACGTTACCATTCCTGAGGACTAATATGTTATGCCCCGGGGGGAAAAGGATTGTTAGTAATGGGGTCTAATAGCCCCATTACTGGCAATATACCCTCTCAGGTCGACCTCCACGCGGTTCCCCCTGGAAACCATCATGTTTAATTCTTGTCGAATTCATCATGGTGGGCCAACTAACCTACATTCATTCTCACCTATCATCTTCTACTGGTGCCTCGTCGGTGTATACCAATAGCGCGGGCGGGGCTACCAATCCATTTTCACCCATAAAAAAAATATGTTATGCCCCTGGCTGTAACTTCATTGCCATATCCCACTCTTTAAACCGAAATACAACCATACAAACACAACTGCTTTTTGGTAGAAACACAAATGGGACAGAGGTAGAGACGAGTTTTATGCAATTTCCCTTTGATAATTTTTTTCTTTACACAATTTTGGAACAATCGTAAAATAATGTTTTAATGAAAATAATCTTTTACTATTATACTAATATTGATGATGGGGCACCATAGGCTTACAGTAAACGATTATCGATTAAGATCGTGTTTGTTCACCATCTTTATGAAATCATAAAAAAATATAACATGAAATGGCATCTCGTTTAAATGATTCAACGTCCAATAATTATGCCAAATATACACCATTCTTATTTTAAATAATGTTGAATGGTAATTTAAAATGCATAAAAGTGTTGATATGTATGTTTGTTTCATAGTAATGCGTCATTTCGAACAGATTTTTACCGTGCAATGGCGTCATTGATTCTTTATACTCGTAATTAACATTAAGGTACTTCATATTTGACGTTAAACAAATTGTTACTAAACTGTAAAACTAAACAATACAATGTTAAAAAAATTTACGTCAACAAATATGATTATATACGTACTTGTCAAAAATTGAAGTTTGAACTGAAGACCCTTTCATCCCCAGAAGGTAGTTTAAAGCCCAACAATAATTTTTAGAAATTTAGTTTGTAATACAATCAAAAAACATGTCAAATTGATGACTTTGTACGCAGTGTTACTGAAGTAGGAAAAACAATGCAATAAACCAAAATTACATAACGTAACGTGTATTCTGCCATGTGGTCCCGCCATAGAATAGGCTACCTCTTCCTTTCCCGTGGGTGTCGAAAGAGGTGACTAATAGTGTGAGGGATGGGCAGCAGCGTCCCTCTTAAAACATCTCTAAAGCCTAACTGCGGTTGCCAATCCCTCTGCTAAGCGTAGTAACTACAGGTAAACCCCTCCAAGGGGGAGGCTTAGGTTCAGCAGTGGACAATCAAGGCTGATATAATGATGATGACGACATAACCTATCAAGATAAAACATATATCTACCTGTTTCTAAGACCTTCGAAATTACAACTGTGAAAACCGCATCCAATTTGAGTAGTAGTTTTTGTAGAATACCGCAAAAAACACAATCGGACAAACTAAATTTCTAAAAATTATTGTTGGTCGATTCTATTTTCCTGCAAGACCGAGGTCTGGGGACGTAATTTTTTTTACATTGGTTTTTTTACAGTTTAAACAATTTGTTTAACGTCAATTCCCTACTAGTTATGGAGTGAAAGAATCAGATACATTGCAGGGTATGAAATCTGTAAATGCAGATGACACAAACATACATATCAACACTTTTATGAAATTTAAATTTGTTCAACATTATTTAAAGATGCAATAGAATGGTGTGATATGATGAAGGCCCAACTATATATTAATTTTTCTTAAATATTTAAACGTACAGACAGACATTTCATGATTATATTTTATTATTGTTCATAAAGATCGTCGACTACAAACACGATCATTGATAATACACTGTAACGCCTATGGTGCCCATCATCTCATTAAAATAAAGATTTTGTTTTTCATTAAATCGTAGGAAAACAAGTTACTTTGATTAAACTACTAAACTGATTTTGATGAAATCTCTATCAAAATCGGACCAATCTGAAAATAGGATATGCTGTAGATAACAATATTTTTTTTAAATTGGTTTATAATGACTTAGTCATGTGGTAACAAACATAATAAAAAAACAACCGAATTGACAACCTCCTTTTTTGAAGTCGGTATAAAAATGCGCGCGTTGCCGACTCAAAAGAAACATGAGTGCACAATTTCTGAAAAAAAAAATTACGCTGTTTTTGGGGGTAATCGTGGCTGGAACAATACATTCGCAGAAGGAAACTCCCTCTGAATTCATTCACCATTTATTATTTTTTACTATTATTATCATTTATTTTATAAATGACTTAGTCATTGGGAAATATTACGAAAAATATTGCTTATGTATGTAATTGCTGTCTTTTCTCCGGTAATCACGTGACCTTAGATTATACATGTAATATAATATAATACTTAAGTGAATTTCTTCATTGTTATAATACCATATTAATGTATCACAGGATAAATAATGGTACTATGGCATAAGTATAGACCCAATTGGTAGGTTTATTTAATTTACTTTTCTGCTGTCATCTATTTTTTTTTATATTTTTATAATTATTAAACTAATGTTATATTTCTTATTTTCTTATCTGCATAATACTCTACATACATTAAGTAAGTATAAGTTGAAATAACTTACTTGAAAGGTTCAAAAACCCAGTGCTCACCGAGATTCTGAACGGAGTATCCTGTGAGCCACTCGGCCGTGCCCTTTTTCACGCCTGCCATGAAGTACAATATGAAGAATTGATACTTGAGCACGAAGTAGTTCCAATAAGGTATCGTCTCACTTAATATAGTGGGATCTAGGTAAGCATCTATTGACCTGGAATGTTAGTTGTTGAGTGTTAGCATGAGTATGTTACTAGGAAAAATTAGTATATATAAATCTGTATTGTATTGTATTGTAAAAAATCTTTATTGTACATATATTAAATACTAGTAAATGATTTAGTATACAATGGCGGACTTATCCCATAAAGGGATCTCTTACAGTCAACCTTTGAGAAGCTGAAAGAAAAAGAATGTATAAGGGTCATAACCGTACAATTAAAGATAAACTAAATAATACCCGTTAAAAAAAATTGAATATATAACACAATAAAAACAGCTCTATATACCTACATATGTAAATAATAAAAGTAAATTAATGTATCTGTATGTAGTTTATTAAAAAAAGCTGGAAAAATGCAAATCAGACTCACGCAATTAGGGTTTTGTACTAAATCTATAAGTTTAAAGAAATTGTTTTTGTGAAACAAAACTGTTTTTATACTGTGAATCAGTTGTGTTGGTATAGCTGGGCTTCGGTTTCAAGGGTGGGATATGGTAGTGAATTTACAGGGTACAGAGGAATTACACCTGAGTCTTAAGGAATGGCAACGCATGGGGGGTATCATGGGCGAAACAGTATACTCTGTTATATCCATTACTGCTCATGTCTATAGGCGACGGTTATCACTTTCCATCAAGTGGACCGTCAGCTTGTTTGTCATTTTAAGTTGCATCAAAGAAAACTATAAATTTACAGTTAAATTTTCATTTCAAAAATTCTAGGTCAACGGGAGGAAGGAAGAACGATGATGATGTTAGCCGGACAATTGAAATTGAAACTCGATTGATGACAGACAAACAGCCGCCGCCCGCTGTTTATCCGTCATCAATCGTTCGCATTTGTGTTTTATTTTGAATAATAAGTTTTATTAATATGGCTACTAATATTACTTGAATAAGGGTACAACCTTTTGTATCAAGAGGTTCTAGGCAGTCCAAAAACAACTAGATAATAACATATAAACCCACCAGTAACAGTTGGCTTGTGTGCACGTCAACAACAAACCAACCAATCCGAACAGGTAGCTGTGATTATTCCAGAAACTTTTCTCGATCAAAAACAAGTACCAATAGCAGATTGTGAACATAGAAGATGATATGCGGTACTTGTAACCCAACATGATGCCTAGAGCTCCTGCAAGTAATATCACTTTAACAATAATTTAAATTTTAACAAAAATGTAATTAGTTTTATTGTATAATAAATAGTAAATAAATAATCAAGAACTTGACAAGTCTGGAAATACGTTCAGAATTCTGAAATTTTGAATTTTGAAAGTTCAAAATTTTTAACACATTTTTTAATTACATGCTGGCGATCCGATTATGTTGAAATTTGGCATAATTATATAAGTTTGATAACAGTACGATATTATGCTACCGTTGAGTTGGTCCAATGACATTGGCTATAGGAACTGGTGAACCACGGATGATTAATCCGTTAGCCGTTTGGATTCGTTGGGTGCTTAATCTTGACAAAAAAAAATATAATTTTGAGTTTATTATTAAGTTATATAACTATCAAAGATTGTTTTTAAATTTTCTAAACAGTTTCGTTAATACGAAACGTTTTACTACCTATTCGTAATTTAATAAAATCAAAAATTTTAAAAGTATTTTACCAAATAATTTTCAATATTTCTGATTAATAATTTTAAAAGTGCACTGATTACAGAGTATTTGTGTATGCTTTAGTATAAATGTCTGAACGAATTTAAATGAAATTTAATACAAAGATAGACCATATCGTCAATTAACATGTTTTTATACTAATTCATGTAGCTATACCGCGGTGCAATATAACTAGTCATAAATAATGATCGAAAAGCAATTGGTTAATGACGAATAATAAATAATGCATTTCAATTTTTATTATAGTTATAAGTATGTCCGCATATAACATTTAACAAATATAGATAGGTTTGTATGCCCTGACGACCTTTCTAAACTGGTAAAAGTTGTATGATTTCATAATAAACTCGTTTGCGGCCCTTGAAGGGTCATTTCATTGTCATGATTTTAGAGTTCCATGTCTAAGGCGTATCATACACAGATTCCTCTGGTTACCCTGTAAAGAATCTAGCGTTAAGATAAATAGTTAAACTTACAACAGTATAGATATTATTAAGGTTCAATGCCTTTAGTGGTACAGCTGTAACAACCCATATATTGACGAACTCGAGTTCGATTCTTGTATAATACAAACAATTGTATTTTTAAGCATGCCTGTTTATCAGGGGGTCTACCAAGAAATGAAATTCCGAATTTTCGGGCTCAATTTCGTGTTTTTGTTCGTACCGAAATCGACCTTGTAAATGGAGCTTAACATTTCGTTTGTCATACATCCTACCATAAAAGTTCAAAGGAACGATATTTTAGCATTTTTAATATTTTTAAATGGTACGTATCATGTAATTTTAGCATTATTTTTTGTTTCGTTCGGAAATTTCAGAAAATATTTCATGGTAGGGCCTCTGTTTATTTGTGTATGATTTGTGTATAATATGTATGTACTTCATCATATCAAAAGTTAACTATCCCGTAAGGACCCTTAATTGCTTAATTTCGAATACAAGACGCTGTTTTTTTTGTTTTATTACATATTATTATAACATAATGTGTAATAAAATGGTTGTATTTATTTGTTCGAGAAATTACTTGGTTGAAGATTGTTTTATCTTGCAATTTTCGCGGATTTAAACCTCGCATAATAGAAATGTTTGTATTAAATAATATGTCTATTTGTATTTGTCTAGATGTATGTTTTTACAAAAAAAAAAAGTATGTAACTATGTCCATCAGTTGTCTAGAATCCATTGTACAAATTCTGTTTAATTTAAGACTAGATAATGTCGTATATGCAGTGGTATTTATTTTACAGTAGAATCTCAATTATCCGAACATTGATTATCCGAATATTCGATTATCCGGATTTATTCCTCACAGCTCCAATTATCGATTTATAAATGGTATTATGTATTAATTAGGTAAATAGGTGTTACGTAATACATTATCTTTATAGCTCGTAGTTTTTTTTTTATATCGTATTATCTAAATTAAGTATCACAAGACATTTTTTTATGTAAAACCTTTTGCATAATAAAAAAATGTCTTGTGTATTTTGACTTTGAAATCGATTATCCGGATTTTCGATTATACGGATTACTCCTGATTTTATTTGATTCGGATAATCGAATCTCTACAGTATTTGTTAACGAATATTTCGTAGTCACAACCATATTCAAATTTTTTCTTCAAAAATAAATTTTCAGTTGATCTTAGATTTTCAAACCAGCAATTATTTACTGCGAAGTAATATTTACCTAACCACATGGCAGCGTACACTACGGCCATGTATGGCATGGGGACAGCACGTATGAAGGGGATGAGTGGGAAGTGACATGTGTGAGGGTCACTCCACCGCTCATCCATCACGGCTCCACCTCTCTCGTCTGGTATATCAAACAGCATTGCAGCGCCTGAGCGAGTGAACACAATAAATGTACTAAATGGGCCGAGAGGATTATTATAAACGGGGTATATTTTTTAGAAAGGGGCTAGCAGCCCCATTTCCAAAAAAGTTGGATAAAGTTTGTATAGGTCGACTTATTGAACAGTCGATAATGCAGTGGAAAATAGAGTAAAATTGAGTAAATGGTACTGCAGGAAAGTCGCTATGGTACGACACAGTTTTTATACGGTGCTGTTTATGCTTACAAACGTATCACATTTTTTAATTTAGTTTTGAATTTCCATTATAAACAATCAAACGTTTTTTTTTTCTTTTTAATATTAGTATAGATATGTTAACTTAAGATACAGTCAGTGGCGTAACTATATCATTTGGGGTCTGTGGCAAATTCTTTTAATGAGGCCCTATCAATAAAAAAAAAAAACTTCACGTAAAATAAAATACTCAACACAATGCAAAAAAAAAAGAATTCTGAGCTCGCGGCTTCTTGAGCCGGAGCCCTTTTGGGCTGGGGACTCGTGGCATTTTGCCAGCCCTGCCACCCTATTGTTACGCCACTGGATACAGTAGAGTCGATTCTAAGGCACCATTTTTTAAACCTATTTCTTAACTGAATATTTTTGTTAGATAATTTCGCAAAATTGCTGTTTGGATCATAATTGGATATTAATATGCAAGTGACACCCCTAGTATTGTAGGCGTTTGTAAGCTACAGTAATCATTTACCATCAGATGGACTGTATGCTAGTTTGCTACCTTCGTGGCATAAAAAAATTCTAAGAATTTTAACTTAAACGTTTTAGAAAATTAGTGCTTACAATAAAGATTTCGGTGTGATATCAAATTTTAATTTTAAAGATAGATTTAGGAAAATAGCATCTCGAAATTGGCCCCATTGTTTATATTACCAGAGGGAGACTTTGTACAAAAGTCGATTGCTTGGGTACCTCTGTCCCATTCTTGTTTCAACCATGAAGCAGTTGTGTTTGCATGGCTGTGTTTCGGTTTGAAGCGTGGGATATGGTGTGAATTTACTGGGTACGGAGGAATAACACCTGAGGAGGAGGAATGGCAACGCATGAGGGGGAATCATGGGCGAAACAGTATACTCTGTTGTCCATGATACTACTCATGTTTGTAAGCAACGGTTACCACTTTCCATCAGGTCTGTCAACTTGTTTGCCATTCTAAGTTGTATAAAAAAATATATATAATATACTTCTCAAATATATTACGATACACTTAGACAATATTCTCACCAAATAATATCCTTGTCACAGCCAAACTAGAAGAATCCTTCGGTAGATACATATAATTTACCATTTTTGAAAATGTCATTTCGTTAAATTTAAAATCAAATTGTTGCTGAAAATGTTTATTTATAATTTCATACGACCAAAACATATTTTCTTCCAGTTTATATCTGTAAATAAAAAATATATAAAACTACCTATGTAGTCGTGCAGGGTTCTTCCTTATTGAAGTCAACGGTGAAGGCCTATGTTCAACAGAAAACCGTGAATGATTGAAATTATAATAATGTACCAGCACGTACGAGGAAAATGTATCTAAATAGTTCAGCGAGCTATTAACAAAGTTATTATTAGTAATTTACCCTATTAGGTCGACTTTTACATCATTCCCCCTGGAAACCATCATGTGGAATTAGTCATGATGGGCTAACTGACCAGCTTTCGACCTCACTTATCATTTTACATTGGTAAGCTAGCTATATGCTATCAATAGTGGAGGCAGGATTACGATTCCATTATAACTCATTAAAAAAATCAACTTCAATTTTACCCGTGATTCCTCACTGGTCTCCCGACGGATCTACTAACGCAGGTAGGGATACCATTCAGTTTTACTGATTATAATAGTCAACTAGGTGATTCCTATCGGTTATCGCTTGTACAAGGGACTGTGCTCAGAGGAATTGTTAAATATGATGCCCACGGTCACTTTCTACCATTGTACAACTTGCCATCGATAGACAGTTCACCCCTATGCCTTAAAACCTTGATAGTCGCGTACAGCGCGGTTTCAGAGATGTTTCTTTCCATGTACGATCAGTTTAGTGAATGAGAACCTTGTCGAAGTTTTTTCAAGAGACTACAACATGGAGTTCTTCAAAAGGGGTAAAAAGGTTTCTTCAGGGTCGACAACGCGTAATTACGTAAAGCCCCTAGTATTGCAGGCGTTTATAGGCTACAGTAACCGCTTACCAACAGGTAAGTTTTTTTTTATGGTTTGCGGTACAGTATTTAAGGCATCCCGTCTTCGCTATTGGATACGGGTGACGGAACGCCTATACAAGAGGGTACATGGTGGGTGCAGTTTAGACGCAATATTTGAGGAGCATTAGGAAGGTACTACGGCCGGATACTGCAACAAAAGAGTGGTCGGCCCCTGAACTGGTGACATCTGCTGTCTACCGGTCCCCAATCCGAGGGACGACCGATCACTGACCGTAAAAGATGACGCAGGGCGTATGAAAACACAACAACAGGTGAGTCGTATGCTTGTTTGTCACCTCAGTGGTATAAAACAAATCCCTATTATCCCTATACCTGTAATAACCCGCTACATAGGTTATGGTAAATACATAATAATAAAAGCAATAATTAAATTGCATAATTAATAATTACATTATGTTGGCGTCAAAAATATTCAATAAGAAAAATTGGTGCCAAACGTTGGCACTCTTTCGCCGTGAAATATTGTGAAATCCCATGCAGAGTCAAGTTGGCATTCAATTTAACCTTTACTGTCTATTAAACAACATATTACTCGAAAGTTCTTTCCATTCTATTGCTCAATAACTGTTTATTAATTAAACAAACAATATTTTGTGTGTTCTCGTACCTAATATGTTACGTTACCTTTTATCATCATAATAACGAATCAATAATGTTTCACAGCTACGAGGTGTTTCTCCCCTTAACAGGAATATCTTCCTGTTATACCGGTAGTTTTGGCCGTACCTGCGTTGAATCAACGATTATCAAAACGTTTATTACATCTAGATAGAAAAAAAACCTCAAAATAATGATAGGGACAATAACGGGGCATTGCCCATTAAACAAACATTTATACACAATAGGAGCCACAGACAGCCCTCTATGTCGAGGCTGTTTCGACGCCGAAGAAACGGCTGCTCACGTAATCCTGGAATGTGAGGCTGTGGCCCATCAACGTTAAGAAATCCTCGGAACGGTGAGGTCGCTCCGTGAGGCCTGTGAAAAACCCAGGAAGCTTCTGCGCTTCTGGGCGGGGCTAGGTTGATTGTACTAGCCACGACTCATACGCACAACGGCCCAAATGAAAGGCTAAGCGCGGAAAATAGAGTCTTTTTCACATTCACATACCAGTAGTTGTTACGTTTGACAGGCCGGTGTTTTTTTTTTGTGGACGATAATGGAATGATAAACCCGCCTGCGCTGCGGTATACACTGGCGGGGCACCAGTGAGGGATGATAAGTGAAGATGAAACCAGTTCAGTTAGCCCGTCATGACGAATTCATCAATAAATTAATTGTGATGGTTTCCAAGAGAAACCGTGTGGAGGTCGACCTGATGGGGTATATCGCTAGCAATAGGGTTGTAAATACCTCATTGCTAGCTATATTTTCTCCCCCAGCTTGATAGGCGGATAGGCAACCGCAGTAAGACTTTGGTAATATTTTAAGAAGGATGTTGTTGCCCATTTCAAAAGCTTTTAATTTCCCTTACTCGCCTCTTTCTATATCCACGGGATAGGAAAGGGTGGCTCATTTTATGCTGGGACCACACGGCAATGAATTACCATAATTATATATTACTAAATATTAGCTCTTGTATTTTTTTTTTTTTGATGAATGAAAACTACCGGTTTCATTCTCTGTCTATTTGGCAGTCGTCCTAAACAGAGTTTACCATTCAAGAACGTTTCTTCCATCAGTTTTTTTTTAATGGGTGAAAATGGATTGGTAATCCCGTCTGCGCTAACGCGATACGCTGGCGGAGCACCAGTGAAGGGTGATCGATGAGAATGAAAACAGATCAGTTAGGCCATCACGATGAATTCACAAGTAATTAACCATGATAGTTTCCAGGGAGAACCGCGAGGAGGTCGACCTGGTCAGGTATATTGCTAGCAATGGGACTCTTAGTCTACATTACTAACAATCCCTTTCCCCCTATTCTCTTGTATTAATTTATAAGAGTATGTTCTTCTAAACACCACTGCATGAAATGCAGAAGATTTAATAAAACAATTGCCGATCCGATCTTTCTCTATCGAATAGAATAATATAAAATACCTTAGAAAAAGTAATATTTTTTCTAAGTCGGTTAAAGATAGAATAAAAGGTGACTCGAAAAAACCCACGGATATAAAATAACTCCAAGATTTTGTTCATAGAAGTGACTTAGTCATTACTAAGTTTCTTGCCTGTTCTTTACAGCTGAAATTGCATTTCGAACTGGACGGTAGATTGATAAAAAAATACTATTCAAAAATGCTTAGAATTAAGTTTATTTAGATACAAAATAATTTTAAGGGAGACTTTGTACAAAAGTCGATTGCTTGAGTATCTCTGTCCCATTCGTGTTTCTACCGTAAAGCAGTTGTGTTTGCATGGCTGTGTTTCGGTTTGAAGGATGGGATATGGCGTGAATTTATAGGGTACACAGGAATAACATATGAGTCCTCAGGAATGGCAACGCATGGGGGGTATCATGGGTGAAACAGTATACCCTGTTATGTCCATGGTACTGCTCATGTTTATAGGCGACGGTTACCACTTTCCATCAGGTGGACTGTCAGCTTGTTTGCCATTCTAAGTTGTATAAAAAAAAAATTAAATTACTTAGCGCTAAACGAATGAAATACCTAATTTGTAAATAGACTTTATTATTAATATTAATAGTTAATATTGTTAATGAATTTTAAATATGATTAGATAAAATAATATGTATATTTATGTAAAAATTTAAACAGCAGAATTTTTTGTTCATGCATGTTCTGTACATGCGTTATACATAAATTATTTAGCGGACTGGATTTTATTGTATGAACAATACCTATTTTATACCGTATCGAAGCAAATCGCAATTAGTAATAGTTCGCAATCAGTGACGGATTGACGGAGAGCGGAAGGGGTGTCCCGTCCCGGGCCTTTGGACCTGGGGGGGGGCTCAAAACGCCTATATTTTCCACATCTATATGTATATTTAAGTCTAATTTAAAAATCACTTACAATTTTAACATAATAAACATAAAACATTTATATATTTATACAAATATAAACTGAATATAAAGCTTGTTAAATTGTTGCAACTTTTGAACTGGGAACCTCATTCAACTTGGTTGCCCCGGTCATCTGACTTAGTCTGTTACTGTTCACAATGACAAAAGAACAAGAGTTCGATAAAGTAGTAGTTGAGTTTGGGTTTTAACACGACATAAAATAAATTATTAATAAATAACTATTATCTTGTCAAATCAACGAACTTTTATAATCTCCAAAATGGTTAAATATTAGTTATATAAAAGCTTACCTTGTCAAATTACAGTCTAGAAGTTTCCGTCTTGGCGATAGAGACTTAACTAAAAAGGGATCTAGTGAGAGCTCTTTGAAAATCGTATTACTTAATAAATTATGGATTCAACTGATTATAATTATGTCATATTAATTATGGGGGTTGTGCATGCGTCCTGTCTCATAGGTACGTGATTTTCCATTTCACTGATATTGTATTAATGAATAATTGACTAGTCCCGGTAGGTAGGGGGGAAAAGGGATTGTTAATAATGGAGACTAAGAATCCCATTGCTAGCAATATACCCAACCAGGTCGAGCTCTTCGCGGTTCCCCCTGGAAACTATCATGATTAATTCCTGATGAATTCATCATGATGGGCTAACTGGCCTGTTTTCATCCTCATCGATCACCCTTCACTGGTGCCCCGCCAGCGTATCCCATTAGCGCAGGCGGGGTTACCACTCCATTTTTATCCAATAAAAAAAAAAGTCCCGGTAGGTAATCTATGCTATCGTAGTTGTAATAAAATACTTACGTGTAAATTTATTAGATTTAAATAAAACATAATGTCAGTTATACTGAAAAATTATCTATATTTTTTATGTTTGAAAGTAATATGGTAGTCCCGCTTGCGCTGTCGGTATACACCGGCGAGACACCAGTAGGTGATGATAGGTGAAGCAGAAAGCAGGTTAGTTTTTCGTGACGAATTCAAAAATTAACCAATATGGTTTCCAAGTACTAACCAGAGGTACTCAAGTATACAAATTTTGTATGAATCTCCCTGTTGGTCTAGGGAGATTGTTACTAAAAGGGACTGATAGCTACGTTCTAAGAATAGACCGTATCAAGCCGACTTCCACGTGGTTAACAAACACAATGGTTTCCAAAGAGGACCCCTTTGGAAACCATTGTGGATAATTCGTGATAAATTCGTCAAGAGCCAATATATATATGTTATTTTCTATTATATCTAATATGTCGGTTTGTTAGACAATCTAACTTATAAAATAATACGTATATCTTTCAACTTTTCGTTAATAGATAGTTAAGATAGTGTTGTATGAAATATTTTATATTGATTTTTTTTTTAATATTTTTTTTATGCTTCGTTTAACTTCTGAGGGCCTACCATGAAATATTTTCCGAAATTTCGGAGCCAAACGAAACACAAATTTGATGTTAAAATTACATAATACATGCCGTTTGGAAATATTAAAAATGTTAAAATATTGTTCTTTTGGACTTTTATGATAGGATGTATGATGAACGAAATGTTAAACTCCATTTATTAATCCGATTTTGGTATAAACAAAAATACGAAATTCAGTCCGAAATTTCGGAATTTCATTTCATGGTAGATCTACAGATCTCAAAGACGATGCCGATATCGAGAGGAAATGGGGGGCGCCAGCATGCTTGCCCGCAGTACTGCACGTCGTTTAAAAGAAGTAAAAATCACCTTATTCAGGTCATACTGTACATCCTTTTATACGTGCAGTCTGTAGGTTAGGTATACCCAAAAATCCTATAGCTAGCGGGCAGCAGCAATGGCATTCTGAACATGATTGCAAGCAGGTTAGAATGCCTTTACTCTATCTATATAACAATAATAAAGAAGTAAATTAACTCAAAACACGTCAAAAGACAAGGTATGCAATAGTGCGCTACTGGGGGGAAAGGGATTGTTAGTAATGGGTTGTGACACTCTCATCGCTAGCAATATATCGTATCAGGTCGGCCTCCACACGGTTCCCCTTGAAAACCATCGTGGCTAATTATTGTCGAATTCTTCAGGATGGGTTGACTGAACTCGCCTCATCTTTACATCTATTATTGGTGCTCCACCAGTGTATATCGATAGCTCAGGCGGGGATACGATTTTATTTTCACCAATTAAAAGAAAAAAAAATAGTGCGCCACCTACCCTTTGTCTTTTTTCTCAATGTCCTCTATCAAAAAGTTGCCTGGAAGCAATCTCGCTTAGCGATAATGCCGTCTTTATATCACTTCTCATTAAAATGTACTGTATTTATTATTTTTACAAATGGTTTAATAAATGAAGGAAGATTAATGACAATAAGTAATCCTATTGTTAAGACAGTATTCCTCACTGCATACCTGACGACAAAACATTTTATAATAAAATTATTTAAATTGGTATTTTATTAGTAAATGTATAGTTTAAAAATATAATAATAGTTTGTACGTATAATTAATAATGTAAAAAATTTAATTTATTAAAAGTAAATTATAACCGCAATGACTGTAAACTATGGGTATATACCTGAAAAAAAAAAAATAAAAGATATCATTTTACTTTAAAATCAATTGTAATATCCCCATTATGTCAGAGGAATTATGGCAATTTTAAAAATGTTATAAATTTTAAGAAATGTAGAATTTTATCAGTCGGCCGGAGTTTATTGGCATCCCAGGAAGAGAAACCGGTTGTACAAAATGAGGGCAGAATCTAAGAGCACCGATCTTCTGCAATGGATCTTTTACGTTGGTTTACGGGGCAATGAAGAAGCAGATCGTTTAGTTAAACTGCACAAAGAAAGAATCCCAACCGATTATATATCTAAATTATCAATGTCAAAAAGATGGAAAGAATATTTTAACGTTCCAAAAGACTGGTTGGGATAAAACTATTCGTTCACCTTTGAATTAAAATCATAACGTATTAAATTAGCTGTTCCATCAAAAATTTCGATGGACGTCACCCCCCATTGTCAAACTTGTGAGCCAGGTCGATGATGTTTTCTATTTTATTAGAGTGTCGTTTCACGAGGAAAGAGAAGAATTCTCGTCACTTTAACGGTAAATGAATGTTGGACATCTGTGTTAGCAACTTAAACCAGATAACACCCTTTAGATGCCCGATCCTCTCTCCACGATATCAAGTTTGTTTGAGAAATCAGCAAGAACTGATATACCTGAAGAAGGTCCGTCAAAATTATAAATAAAAAAAAGATATTAATTATAAATGTAAATAAGTAAAATAAGGTACATTAAAACCAAAACAAATGTGCTGAAATATTTATTTCTTCAATTCTATAATATTCGATACAGTGTTTTATGTATGAATAAACATTTTAATTATTGTCAATGACATAATATCGAAATGGCCGCGATAATATCACTAGACTATACTAACATTCTAGTGTTAACTTTAGTTTACAATGTAATTGATTGTTGTCGAATAAAATTTTGTCTCTGAACGACAAATTACATTTTTGGTATAATGGCACATACTATTACAGTATCGACAGCTATTGAAGAGAGACATTATATATAATAAAATAACTACAGCGTCTTTTCTGCATACAATAAAAATATTCCTTAAAAAAAAAAAAAAACATTTACTAATATTCATTTTAAAGTAACGAGAATTACCATTAAACTTTAAAAACACGAAACATGACAAGCGAGGTACACAAATAATTAAATATTGATTACATAACATTGTTTTCTTTTTTTATTTTAATTATCCATTCTTTACATGAATATTAATATCATTCTTCGTTGTTCAATATTTATGAGCCATTATATTGGGGGGGGGGGGGGGGGGGAAAATAACAGACCATAATATTAGAAGAGAATTATAGAATTGTTGTAATTTGTTATTGTAGATATACATGTTCAACATTTTAGAAGCTAGAAGTTACAAGTAGCTAGACTGAATAACATTTGTCACAGTGGATAAACCGAAGTCTATTTAAATGTAACCTTTACATACGAACGGGCACCTTCACAATGATATTGTGAATAAATACATTTGCATACATTTCACTCTCTTTCTATATGGTGTCGGAAAATTGGACAATATAATGTGCTATGGTAAATCATAAAAACTTCCTATAACCTCAAGGTTTGAGCCACTTAAGCTACCACTTTCATTGAGACGATTTGTAAGCTCGTTTGCCTCTCAAACAAAAGTTGTTTTATTGTTAAAAATTTTATAAACACACGTTATATTTTAATGTAATAACTACTTGCTTTAATTAACGTGTAATTGGATCGAAAAAGTTCGACTAGTTTCGGTGTCAATTCGTAATCCTTAATGATGAGCGGCTGTGACGCGAGCGCTTATATTACGTTTATAATATGAGTTTGTAATTATGTAAAATTATCACAATGACAAATGTTACTCTGTACAATTGAATTTGTATGTCGATTAATAAAATATTAAATTACTTGAATAAAAAACAATCAAAGAAATCACGCAATTTATCGATAGGATAGTAAATAAAAAAAAAAAAAAAACTAAAAATAGCAACAGTAAAGTTTTATTACTACTAACGAAATTAATTCAGGAACTTTAATATCGGATTAGAAACGACTACGTAGTACTTAATTATTTAATATTTAATCTCAACAACTGTAACACAAATATCTAATCACAGGTTAATAATATTATTAAATTTAGTAAAGTTCTAGGAAACCGTTTTATATACTACCCTACTTTTTTTTAGCGTTTTAATAAATGTAGGTGACATCTGTAGTTTCATATGGATAAATCCTTTACTTGCGTAAAGAATATCTACACGAACCGAATCAGTGAATGTACTCATGAAAATAAACAAGTTTTCCTAAAAACAAAACATTGTCAAAATACGAAAAATAATTTAGAATCTTTCAAACGAAATCATAGACTATACAGTTTTAAATTGATCACGTGACCATTTTTTATGCTGATTTTTGACATCATTACACTGGGATCTAATATGGACGTCAAAACTTTCTAATGGGGACGTCCATTTGACGTCTAATTATTGTAAGTTCGAATTGATTTAAATTCGATTACGTCAAATGTACTTGTCTACTTAAAAAGGATAAATTTTATGAATTTTATCACTGAGTATTCGGCTATATTTTCCCTTCCACCTAACCCTATACGAATCAGTAAATCATTACAATAAAAAAAGCAATTAAATGATATTAAACATATTCATACGAATTTATTAACCTTCTTAAAATATCTGACACTATTAGTAATGACTATCTTATAGAATTTGGAAAATATTTGGCTTTGGGTTTTAACATTTATCATTTAACTTTACAATAATGTATGCATAAGTATATTAAAATAAATAATATTCTACTGGTAAGAATATTATAGAAAAAAAAAATTGTTAAAAACCTTGACCACGACAAAAAAGGTATTGTGGTCTTGTTAAATAAAAAAAAAAAAAACATTGTACATTGATTGTCGTTTAATACGCCATTGTAAATGTTAAAGTCCATCCTGTACAACATGAAAAAGAAATACTTAAAACTGTACATTAAACCATAATAGTAATGTTGACTAACAATCGATTACTAATAAATCGATAGTGTTTAACTAAAATAATCTAAGTATCGATTGGTTTTATCGGTAGAATCGATAGTATCAATATGAAGTTTTGATTTATTTTATTTTATATCGATAATTAGTCCAATATATTACAATCGATTATTTTCTTGTACAATCAATAATATAGTTCAAATACATTGTGTCGATTATATTAATTGGTATTATAATCGATCTTACATATGATATTGTCGTTTACATAATCGATTATAAGATTGTATGTGTACTTCTAAACGACTATCGAATACAGAATCGATACTTAAGATTATTAGGAAAATATTAAAATAGTTACATCATTGAATTACATACAATAATATCATGTACGTACATTGTTAATATTCATGAAGAATACTGCTTCTATACATAAACAACAATATAAAATAATAATATTAAAAAAAAAAAAAAACATCCGAAACATTAATATGACACGTCAGAGATCATACATTCACAAACCAAATTCATTTAAGATATGTTTAGATTTAAAAGCGTTATCTAAAAACACTAGATACACTACAAAACGGAATGTGCTTACAAATATATGGTTATTACAGTAGACTCTAAATTAATGCGTTCAAGTATCAAAATACTTTCTGAAAGAAGCGGTTAACATAAATCGAAAGTGGAAGGAACATTATCAAACTCGTGTTCGAATTTTGAAAACTTAAATGGCATTCGTATGCCATATTGTTTTTTAATTAATCTGTGTGATGGAGATTTTTTTATAGATTAATAATATTATTATAATATTAGACTACAAGAAGCAGCCATAATTAACAACCTATATAACACAAAATACGAAATAAATTTGTTATTACAAAGATACTGTTTCCCCGTCACTTTACTTAATAAATAAAAGAATAAAATTCTAGTGTAATTTTTTGATTTGCGGAGAAAAATTAAATGAACTAGACGAAGTTAAAGTTTCTTTATGTATGTATACATAAAATGTCGTCTAGTTTCGTAGGTGAAGTAGTGTTTGAGGCGTCATACTCGTATTTAAACAGTGAGATAATAGCAGGGTCAATTCTCAATATGCATTGATGTCAAATTAATAAATCATAGTACATATATATATATATATATATATATATGTAATAAATACCACTGAGTATAGCATTTAGCGCCAATATGAGGCACTAGATAATTGAATACATAATTCAATAAAAAGGAGTATTTATTTCTAAATAGTATTTTTACTTCAATAGACTGGGTGTGACAATGTTCCCTTCCATCCTGTTAATTAACAACACATATTTACTTACATTTCCTTAACGATCCTAAGTACAATTAAATATTTACGTAATACTATATGAATAATAATTGATAATTTCTGTTTTATTAAAATGTCGATCTAAAAACACTTAATAATATTAGGTTGGCAATAACTTGGATGACATTAGCGGATATTCAAAGATCAAATCTATTCGATAACGCAGCTAAATTCTAAGGAATCAACATTATAATCATTTATTTATTAATATAACGAGATAATCAGAATATTAATATCCATTCGCTAGTATCAAAACCTTATGAGCCTAACAAAGTTTTGTCACTGTCAAAATCTGTAATATTCTTGTTCAATATTTTTTTTTTATCTCTTTGGAAAAGTCAAATACAGCCAATGTCTTGAGTATCTTATTTTAGAATTTTCGGTGATTTAATTTTGACAGTGACAGTTCAAAACGTCAGACCAGAATCTGAGATTAGAGTCATAAAATTCTTTCACCAGTATCAAAACCTCGTGAATTAAACAAATCTATAGGTCGCTGGTCTAAATTAGAACATCTTATATTTTTAACAGTTAATTTTAGAGAGTGACATTCAGAGGTACCGAAGTTATACCAGCGATATTGCCAGTTGAAACATAATTTATGTCTAAGGGGGTAGTTTGCAGAAAAATATAATTCTACGTACTCATCACTCGATCTTTTACGATCGACTTCGTTCTGGCTCCTTGTATTGTCACAATTGTTATAACAAAATTATTTAGAAATATAACATGATGTAATTGAGGTTTGTTTTAATAGATATGGTCTGAATTGGAACTTTACCAAGAGTTACGCCATCTATTATAAAGGAACATAGAATGATTCATTTTATCTAAAGTTGGCATTCTATCTAATGTGAATAGATAAGCCTCAGTGTGCTAGTTCAATGGCTGTAGATGACACCGCCAGGTCCTGGTAAGGAAGAATGTCCTGATAGGTACAAATCGACCGCCCTCGCCGCCTGCCTGCCCTCAGATATCGCCCACACAACCAGTGACTGACCGCGCCGGCAATCTGTTTCATAAACACATTTATGTCACGTGGAATCCATATAAAGTTAGGTGGTTATTTGTTTTTTTTTTATACAACTTAGAATGGCAAACAAGCTGACGGCCCACCTGATTGAAAGTGGTAACCGTCGCCTATAGACATGAGCAGTACCATGGACATAACAGAGTATACTGTTTCGCCCATGATACCCTCCATGCGTTGCCATTCCTGAGGGCTCAGGTGTTATTCCTCTGTACCCAGTAAATTCACGCTGCAGCTTAAGCTTAGCTATTTTAGCATTTCATTTATTTTAATGTATAAAGTTGTCATTAATATTGTTATGTTTTGTAGCCGAATAAATTGTTTTATTATTATTTAGATTTTTTATATCATTTTTGAAACTGGTGAAATAACAACTGAAATAGTTGTTCAAATTTCACTCGGTATTGATTATAAATGTTATTTATATGGCATTATAGTAACGTTCTTATAATATTAGATATTCCGTGATATTAAGAATAGGAGGAAAAATGCTTATACTGAATTAATGCCTATTTTCCCAAAAAAGTAACTCACTGCAAAATACTGTTTTTTTTTCTTTATTTATTTATTTATTTAACTCTTTATTGCACCATAAATAAAAATATACAATGACAAGTGAATAATTCAAATTTATTATTTTATTTCGTGATTAAATTATTATCATTATTAACTAGCTAACGTCAATTGTTTACTGACATTAATGTACCTAAATATTGCATGTCATTGTTTTCGCAAAACATGCATGTTCCTAACATATTGTTACTAGTATCTTCTGTGTAACATGTTTTTTGAGAAAATAAATTATTATTATTATTATTAAAGTGTTCATTAAATATAATCGATATGAGACCATGTTCCTTATTAAGAAGGAAAAAATATTGCAGTTTCGTATTGTGACTTACCAGAGGGAGACTTTGTACAAAAGTCGTTTGCTTGAGTATCTCTGTCTCATTCGTGTTTCTACTGTGAAGCAGTTGTTTGCATAGTAGTGTTTCGGTTTGAAGGGTGGGATATGGCAGTGAAATTACAGGGTACAGAGGTATAATACCTGAGTACTCAGGAGTACTGAGAACTCTTACAGAGTTAAACTCGCCCGTTGTACATCTTTATTTAATCTAAATCATACGAATGTAATTTTTTGTAAATAAATAAAGTATAAATGGAGTTTAGAAAGCTATTTACATAGATACAATAGTAATATTATTAATCATTGCACGCTGACGCCATATTGTTTGTGCAGCCGTGCGAAGTCGTGGCATGACGCTAGTTATTTATAAACAATATAATAATACGTACCTCCCGCTGCGAAGACGTTGCTTACAGGTGTATGGTAGATATCACTCTTTACTGTCTCGATGTTGCTACGCGCATCGAGCGGCAGATCTGGTAGGAAAAAAAAATCAATTACCAAAGGAACCCAAAATATAGATATCGAACCTGTATAGATATTTTCTTTTAAAACTACAAAATGGCAATAAAGCATATAGCCAGACTGATGGCAAACAATCACTATAGCTTATGGAACTTATAGGCCCTGTAACTGTAACGGTAAGCGACTGCCGCCAATTTTTTAATACCTAAATTATGAATAATGGAAATTAATGCCTTAAACTCTGCGTTTACTAGAAAAGAACTCTTATAAGAGTTAAGCTCGCCCGTTATACATTTTTGTTTAATTAAAAAAAAATATGACAATGTAATATTTGTATGTAATAAAGTAAAATAAATAAATAAATGTATTTTTTTCAAAAGATGATAAAGGACAGCATCGAAGAGAGAATATTTTTAACCGTGAAACTGTTGACTTCCGTTTCTAATCCGTAGAGGATTTTTTTTTTATACAACTTAGAATGGTAAACACGCTGACGGCCCACCTGATAGAAAGTGGTAACCGTCGCCTATAGACATGAGCAGTACCATGGACATAACAGAGTATACTGTTTCGCCCATGATACCCCCCATGCGTTGCCATTCCTGAGGACTCAGGTGTTATTCCTCTGTACCATGTAAATTTCTCTTGAATAATGTAATTCAGAATGATCAAAAATATATATGTGGCAGTCACATGGCAGATATCCAATCAATAATATTGAAATAAAGCACCCTATCCAAAATTAAAAATTTAATTTAAAAACAAAATACATTTTGTTTTTAAATTTGATAATAGGTACTTACATTATCTATAATAATTTTCCTTATGTTGCTGTTTTTCTAAACTTGTTTCATTATACAATATTATTATACCTAAAACTGCGTAGTAACATTATTTACCCCGTTTTTTAATCACTCGTGAGAAATAACATTGCTCACCAAGCTGATTGGCGACATATCTCTCCGGGCCCAGGAAGCCCATGGCGAGCAGCACGAGGTCGACCTTGTATATTTTGTCGGTGCCGGGCACCTCGTTCATCTCCCAGCGACCGCCCGCGCCGCGTGTCCATTCTACTTCCACGGCCGATACTCCGCACACGTTGCCTTCGCCTGTACATCATGTTATATATTTTATATATATATATATATATATATATATATATATATACATATACATACATACATATATATATAACTATATATATATATATATATATATATATATATATATATATATATATATATATATATTTAAATAAAAAGGATATTTTTTATGCAACTTATAATTGCAAGCAAGCTGCCGGCCCCTTAATAGAAAGTGATAACTGTTGCCTATAGACATGAACAGTACCGTGGACATGACAGAGTATACTGTGTCGACCATGATATCCTTCACTGGTTGAAGATATTGATAATAATGCACCATGTAGATAGTGTTGCCTAATAATAGTTAGGTATCGATTATCAGTCGATAGTTGTTCTGCAAATAATTTAATAATCAAATTATGTAACCGATAAAACTATATTAAAATTCGATTGTTATTGACTATTCGATTGTTATTATCATTTAATCGATAACTTATAATAATGTTTTGAACTTATTGTTAGTACTATTGATGGAATTGCATTGATCACACTATCGGTGGATCAATCTATACATAAATTTTTTGTTTGGATAAATTATGGATTAATTTAAAAGTTCAATTTTATATTTTAATGGTGATAATAGTATCTTACAAATACAAATGGCTATAAAATTTGGTAAATATTTATAAAAAAAATTATTGCGTGAAATCCTGTATAAAGCAATGTTAAACATGGGGGAAAATATATTTACGTTGTCTCGCTGTTGATTGCACAGTCATTTATTTTATTTTTTTACATTATGTTACATTTGTAATTTGCAATTTAAATTCGTTCCGGAATTACCGAAAATACATCCTTTTGGGCCCCACTTAATTCTAAATATATTACACAATAAGAAAAAAAAAATGTAAATTAGTCCTTGTAAATGCGTCCTTTCGAGTTTTTTTAAGACAATAATAAAAATAAGAATAATGGATATTTATCAAATTCAATGTTAATACGTTGTTGTTGGAGTTTAGGAGAAAAGAGGGTTTAAACAGTCTAATGTATTTGATTAAAATTTGGTATACATGTCTAAAATTAACATACATATTATTTACCAGCGTAAACTAGAAGAAATAAAAATGCGGGTTTAGACGCGAAAAAAAATTTTTTTATACCACTGAGGTGTCAAACAAGCATACGGCCCACTTGATGGTAAGCGGTTACCGTAGCCTATGAACGCCTACAATACCAGGGGTATTACGCACGTTGCCGACCCTGAAGAAACCTCTTTACCACCCATTTGAAGAAATTTTTTTTAGTAACATAAGGTTACGAGACCTTCAGGGGACGTTTTTTAGTTACATTTTTTCTATCCCCCTCTCCCTCTCCCTCGAAGAAATGTGTTATGAAGCGTTACTTTGTCCATACAATTCAGTTTACATACCGTCGTCTAGGAACTCTTTGGTGAGAGTGGAAAATTTCCTTGGGTCATTGCCGAATTTCACTTTAACTTCGTCGTGTCCGTAGTCCACCCTGGGCAAACACAATGGAAATATACATAATTATAATTATCATTATTATGTCCACTGCTGGGCCTAGGCCTCGCCATAAAGAGGGGTTTGCCAGTACCAAGCTTGGCAGGCGAGTTGGCAACCTCAGTTGGCCTTTCGGGATGTTTTAAGGGGGAACAGCTGCCCATCCTTCGAACATTAACTCTCTGACCGCGTATTTAATAAAACACATTGCTTTGACAACAAATAGCAGTACGAGCATTTAGCCATCTAGCGAGATTCTGAGAAACTATATCAATTTACCAAAACTAAAATCGAGGGATAACAACGTCAATAAACATAAAAAAATGCGAGCACGTCGAAATCGCGGGATGCGTAAAATTAAACTAGAAGATACTGCACGCGTAAATCGCGGGATGCCCGGTCAGAGGGTTTTTTTTATGGCTGATAATGGTATGGTAACTCTACCTGCGCTAACGGGATACGCTGGCGGAGCACCAGCGAAGGGTGATAGATGAGAACGAAAACAGGCCAGTTAGCCCATCATGATGAATTCATCAGGAATTAACCATGATAGTTTCCAGAGAGAACCGCGAGGAGGTCGACCTGGTTGGGTATATTGCTAGCGATGGGATTCTCAGTCTCCATTACTAACAATCCCTTTCCCCCCCGGTCAGAGGGTTAGGTTCACTTAGTCGCCTCTTATGACGGGAAAGGAAGGGATGGCCCATTCTATGTCGGGATCGCATAAACGTTACTTATATTGGTTATTTATTTCGTTACATATTTTTTTTATAACAATCTTTAATAACACGTCTATTATTATTGTAAAAATAGCTGTCTATGGTTTAAGTATTTGAAACAAGTACCTGAAGACTCTAGGCCACTGCGGCCATGGATTGTCCTGTCCCCTCGTCTTCTTTGGCTCTGGTAGGATCTCGAATGTCGTAATAGATTTTGCGCCTTGTCGGAGAGAGGTCGCTATGCAATCGCACCTGTAGAACGTCCAGAATTCTTAATAGGTTGTAGCACTGCTGTATTTTTTATGCAACTTAGAATGGCAAACAAGCTAACGTCCCACTTGATGAAAGAGGTAATCGTCGCTTATAGACATGAACAGTACCATGTACATAACAGATGTGTCACCCATGATACCCTTTATGCGTTGCTATTTTTGTGAATTAAGGTATGTATGATGTATTATAACCGTATAAATTAAATATGGCGTCAATATACTGTCAAATTTTTTATAATTTTATCAATCGTTTTCTAATGAAATGATAAAAATTAAATATGGCATCCATGAAACTGTCATGAAATGAAAACAGGCCAGTTCATTATTTTTTAACAATCGGGGAGAACCGTCTTTTAATGAAATGATTCTCAGTCTTTGTATATCTTTTCTCTTGAAATGACTTCTCTTTGTATAGTTTTACTTGTTAATTCAATATAGTTTGTCAAATTTGCATGGAATCCAATGTTTATTTACGAATGATGGTATACGTCGACAGCAGTCAATAGGAGTATAAGAGTTCCACAAACTGGCAATGAAAAGTCGTCAAGAGGCCTAGAATTTTTTGATATTTTCTTTTTAAATGGGTGAAAATGGATTGGAAACCCCGCCCGCGCTATTGGTATACACCGACGAGGCACCAGTGGAAGATGATAGGTGAGAATGAATGCAGGTTAGTTGGCCCACCATGATGAATTCGACAAGAATTAAACATGATGGGTTCCAGGGGGAACCGCGTGGAGGTCAACCTGAGAGGGTATATTGCCAGTAATGGGGCTATTAGATCCCATCACTAACAATCCCTTTCCCCCCAATTTTTTGATATTAGAGGACGTCACGATTGCTAATATTATGAAAAAATGCGTTTTTTGTATTTGTTGCATTGTTATTTTTTAGCACCTTAACGATTTAAATAATAACTATATTACTACATGGCAGTAACAATATATAATAAATTACCGACAGAATAGAGAGATCTGACAGACAAAAAATTAATTGAAAAACTTTACAATTGACTTATTGAAAAATGTTTTTTTATTCACTTGAAGACTATTTTAATGTAAAATTTTAAAAAACCGAAGTTTCAAATAAAATATTTGCACGTCACATGGTTGAATGCAGAGTCTTTACTTTAACATTAATTTATTTTTTATGCAACTTAGAATGGCAAACAAGCTGACGGCCCACCTGATGGAAAGTGCTAACTGTCACCTATAGACATGAGCAGTACCATGGACACAACAGAATTTTTTTTATACCACTTAGGTGGTAAACAAGCATACTGCCTATCTGATGATAAGCGATTATCGTAGCCTATGAACGCTTGCAATATAAGGGATACGCGGGCGTTGCTGACCTTGAAGAAACCTCTTTACTACCTCCAGAGTATACTGTGTCACCCATGATACCCCCCCATGCGATGGTTATTACATTATTATTATTAATATTATTATTAATGTAATAACCTGTATTCAAGCAAATAAAGGTGTCGTTCGTTAATTATGAAATTTGATATACGCGTACTATATGCGATGGATAATGACATATGCTACTTTATCCCATCAGTCAACATATCCCGGTTACGTGGACCATATCCCAGCTAAAAGCTAGTTTTTTTAATTTTTTTTTTAATGGATGATAATGGAATGCTAACCCCAACTGCACTAACGGTATACGCTGGCGAGGCACCAGTGAGGGATGATAGATGTAAATGAAAAAAGCAGGTCAGTTAGCCTATCGTGTTGAATACACTTGGAATTCAGCAAGATGGTTTCCAGGGGGGACCACAGGAAGGTCGACCTGGTCGGGTATATTGCTAGCAATAGGGCCCTTAATCTCAATTACTAACGATCCCTTCTCCCCCTTGGCTAAAAGCTAGTAGAAGATAGGAGGCGTCATACTTACCCAGTATCACCGCCACCAATGATCAGAACGTTCTTGTCCTTCGCGTTGAGTTCGGGGTTATCCTTCATGGGGTGCGTTGATCCCATCTGCTTCTTCTGCCAGCTCTCCAAGAACTCCATGGCATAATGGATTCCGTTAAGCTGCCGCCCCTTGAGGGGAAGGTCTCGGGGCCACGTTGCACCCATGCATAACACTAATGCGTCATATCTGCGACAAAAGCGAATATTATAAAGAGGAAAGATTTGATTGTTTGTTTGTTAGTAATGGATAAACTCAAGAACTACTCAAACCGATTTCGAAAATTCTTTTACCTATAGAAAGCTATATAATCAACGAGTAACATAAAATGCTTGTAGATTTACGCAGAGTACCCAGTAAGCCTATTTTTAAAAGAGGACATTTCAATTATTTGTTTAGTCAACAAAAGTAGAAAATGACTCAATAGTTACTGTATCTTTTACTGTTTATATATATATACATATATAAATTGCGATGTTTATGTATTTAATGAGTTTTTGTAATTATGTAATTCTTACGTATTATATGTATGTATAATTATTTCAGTATGTTACAATAATTTTATTACATACTAGCGGCCCGTCCCGTCGTCGCACGGGTAGACATTTTTAACATTTCCCTTCACTGCTCTGCTCGTATTGATCGTAGCGTTATGAAAAGTAATATAAAATGCCTAGTAGTATGAAGAATAATTGTAAGCCAATTTTTAAAATGCGTCGAGTTTTTTGTTTATAACAATAAACAGACAGACAAAAATTATTCAATAGCATTTTTTATGGCATTAGTATCGATCACTAATCACCCTGCTGATAGTTATTTTGGAAATATATTTCTGGCGGAGCACCTCTCTACAGATTTATTATAAGTAATTGTAAATCTGTAGAGAGGTCTTATTATTATAAGCTTATGAAGGGCAGTGATGATTGAGGCAGAGGTGAATAATCTATATTCACCATCACTGCCCTTCATATGCTTTCAGTTCTTACCTAATCGTTAGCTGATAGAGAATGCCACTTGTACAAAGTTTTATTGTGCATTAAAGAATAAATAAATAATATATCTAGACATTATATATATATATATATATATATATATATATATATATATATATAAGGCATGCTTAATAGTATAATTGTAAGAATATATACCAGTGTATTGTACTAAAATGTTTAGCTGTATTAAAGAATCCTATAAATAAATAACATAAAACTATAAATGTCTCGCGCGACGCCGGGCCGGATCGCTAATTATCTATATAAATTGTCAACCATATTTTTAAGATGGCTAGATTTTGAAAACGGATTGTAATAATATAAAGAATTCAGTTACATTCCTTGTCACTAATCATCGTCATAGCAAAATTTACGTCATTAATAATAAAACAAAAAAGTTACGTAATATTTCAATTCCGAAATCTTTGGTAATATTGTATAAAAAAATATATTACAAATGATATTACATGTGATCCGATCTCTTCAAAGCGCGGGGTTATTGACGTAATGTGTACGAGCGACGGGTGCACAATTGACGTACGTAAACTACTATAGGCGAAGGACGTCCGAGTCGACAGCCGTTATGACGTATTCATAATGTATTCACGACCAATGATTTTTTCAAAACATTTCTTATACACTTAGATAACATGTGAAAAAAAATAATTAGGTACATCACTATATAGTTGAAAAAGGATGGGATTATTAAAACAATAGGAGTGAACGAGACGACTAGAGTTTATTTGCGCAGAAATATAAAAGTTATAGTGGTGCTAATTTTACGTCATCTCTATGTTTTATTGTCGGCGCTCTTTTAACGTTTCTTTTATTATGTTCGTTATATAAGCTGTCAGAATGTGACATTAGGCTTGACTTGAGGGTTAGAAGCGTCGTCATAGTGGAGACGAGTCTCCTTTAAAAAAATAGTTTCGTCAATGCTATGTCTAACAGAATGATAGACAATGAATATGACCAAAGTCCCCTCTCTTTAATAATGTTGAAATTCCTTATAAATATAAGTGAATTTACCAAAGACAATATCGCAGGGGTTACAGATTTTTTTTTAATGGATAATAATGGAATGGTAACCCCACCCGTGCTATCAGTATATACCGGCGGGGCACCAGTGAAGGATGACAGATGAGGATGAAGCCGATCAGTTAGCCCATCGTGACGAATTTAACAAGAATTGTTCACGATAGTTTCCAGGAGGACCCACGTGTAGGTCGACCTAATAGGGCATATTGCTAGCAATGGGGTTGTCAAACTCCATTGTTAACAATCCCTTTCATCCCGGAAAGGAAGGGGTGACCCATTATGTTGGGACCACGGTACTGATATTACCAATGCCTAATATAGATATCCTATAGTTACTCTGACTCACTCATTGGCGAGGTCACTGGCAGATATGTCTTTGCCGACGTCGACGTTGCACTTGAAGGAGATACCCTCAGCAGTCAGGAGCTTGACACGGCGCGCGACCACCTCCTTGCTGAGCTTCATAGTGGGGATGCCGTACTGCAGCAGCCCGCCCGGACGGTCGTTGCGCTCAAACACAGTCACGGTGTACCCGACCTGCGTATAAACAAGAGGGTTAAAAAACCCACTTTACACGAATCATAATAATATTCGTTTGAATTCGTATAACCCGCCGTCTTTAATAGGCCTCTCGCGTTGAGAATGTAACATTAACGGACTAGTACATGTACATTAGCAGATTATATAAAGAAAATGTGGGGTTTAGTTCCTTATAACATTCTTAGGTGTTAGTTATATTTGGTTACCTTATTGAGCTGGTGTGCACACGCGAGGCCAGCCGGGCCCGAGCCCACCACGGCGACAGTCTTGCCATTGCGATGTTCCGGGATCTAAGAAACATGTTCCAAACATTATTACATTTAATTGTGATCACAGATACATTATATAACAAAACAATAAAGCTAAAAAATTGGGTCAGGTAGGGATGAGATCCCTATTCACCTATCTGGGTGAATAGGGATCTAGTGAGTGTGTATGGATGTGTATAAGTGGGTAGTGAAATGTATTTTTTTTATACAACTTAGAATGGCAAACAAGCTGTCGGCCCATCTGATGGAAAGTGGTAACCGTCGCCTATAGAGATATAGTATATAGGCAGTACCATGGACATAACAGAGTATACTGTTTTGCCCATGTTACCCCCCATGCGTTGCCATTCCTGAGGACTCAGATGTTATTCTTCTATACCTACCCTGTAAATTCACGCTATATCCCACCCTTCAAACCGAAACACAGCCATGCAAACACAACTGCTTCACGGTAGAAACACGAATAGGACAGAGGTACTCAAGCAATCGACTTTTGTACAAAGTATATAATGTAATGGGTATGGATGAGCGTGTGGGTTAGTAGAACCAGTGTGTATGGGTGTGTATGGATGAGTGGGTTGGGTTAGTAGGGTCTAGTGTGTAGGTGTGAGTGCAAGCGCTTGCGGCACCTCAGGTCCGATCCAGCCGTTGTCGAAGGCGTGGTCGATGATGGCGCACTCGATGTTCTTGATGGTGACGGCGGGCTCGGAGATGCCCAGCACGCACGCGCTCTCGCACGGCGCCGGACACACGCGCCCCGTGAATTCTGTCGCGAATGATTCATCATTCGATTCATATTTAAAATTTATTGCTGTATATTTAGAATAAGTTACGAGGACTGACATCATCATTTTACATACAAATAAATATCTCTAAATAAATAAAGAGAGAAATTTTTTTTTACTGATTTAGTATGTCTTACTATTCAAAATAATAGATATGGGATTCAAGATGCTCATGTCTTGGAATATCTAAGAATAGAAGACTGGTCTCAGCAATAAGACCGCCTTATTGTGCAACAACTGTATCGTTACATTTATCAATTGTCTTGCTTATTCCATATATTGTATAATGCAAATAAAGTATACTTATTCATTCATTCAATATCGAAGTATCAAAAGAAAATCTCAAAACAATAATTAATAGCAATAAGCAAGAAATACAGTTAATTTTAATTAGAATTAATACAAAAGGCGGCCTTATTCCTAAGCAATCTCTTTCAGACAACCTTTAGGTAGAGAACATTGAGAAAAAAAAACAAAGCTACCCTTTCACGGCGCACTATTATATATATATATATTATGTGATAAAGTGCATCCTCACCGGGGAAGTTGTTGGTCTGCAGCAGGTGCTTGAGCGCCTGCTGCCAGTCGGCGCGGTAGACGAGGTCGTTCCACTTGGGGATGATGTTCCCCAGCGGGCAGCCGTGGTCGCTCTGGCAGAAGGGCACGCCGCAGTCCATGCAGCGCGCGGCCTGCACGCGCAGCCCGCGCCGCACGTGCCCGAAGTTGTAGATCTCGTCCCAGTCGCGCAGCCGGCGCTCGGCCGGCCGGTACAGCGACGTCTCGCGCGGGTACTTCATGAAGCCCCTGCACACGGGGGGAAAGGATTGTTAGTAATGGAGACTAAGAATCCCATTGCTAGCAATACACCTAACCAGGTCCACCTCCACGCGGTTCCCCCTGGAAACTATCATAGTTAATTCCTGATTAATTCATCATGATGGGCTAACTGGCCTGTTTTCATTCTCATCTATCACCCTTCACTGGTGCTCCGCCAGTGTATACTTTTAACAATCAATTAACCAGTGATAGTTTTTTGTTTATAAAAAAAAATCCCCCCCCCCCCCTCTTTCCTATTCAATATTTTCTAACTATTTACTCACCTAGTCTTATCGAGAATCTTCTCCAAGTTCTTTTTATCCAGCTCAACATCTCTGACAGTCTCCTCTATGTCTAATACACCATTCTCCGCCTTCCCATTGGCTTCCACCTTCGGCGTGGGAGCTGGCGACTTCATAGCGAGCTGCTTCAGAACCCGCTGGTATTCGTATGGGAATACCTTGATGAACATTTTGGCGGGCTCCGGCCATGTGCTCAGTAGCTCCTGAGCAATTACTGACCTGTTAAATATTAACTACCAATTAAGTAAATTCAGAAGTAACTTTTTATTTGGGGCAATGTTAATTTTTTTTTTTTTTATACAACACAGGGGGCACACGAGCATGCGGCTCACCTGATGGTAAGTGACTACCGCCGCCCATGGTCACCCACAACACTAACGGCATTGCAGGTGTGCTGCCGGTCTTTTAAAAAGGAATATGCTCTTTTCTTGAAGGTTATGACGTCGTATCGGTTCGGAAATACTGCCGCTGGATGTTGATTCCAAAGAGTGGTTGTGCGTGGGAGAAAGTGCTTTGAAAAACGCACGGTGGAGGACCGCCACTCGTCCAGATGGTTCGGATGAAATTTTAGTTTATGGCGGGTAGTACGATGGTTAAAATCAGCAGCAGGTATCAATTTTTTTTTATACCACTGAGGTGGCAAACAAGCATACGGCCCACCTGATAGTAAGTGGTTACCGTAGCCTATGGACACCTGCAATACCAGAGGAATTACACGCGCGTTGCCGATCCTGAAGAAACCTCTTTACCCCCAAATCAATCCGAACAATTCCTCAGAGCACTCCCCATGATAAATTCTATAGAAGATGTACATATACTCATACTCATATAATACCTGTAAAGACTTTACAAATATGTATTTTATTCATAATGCATAATTCATCCAAATGAGCTAAGTTCTAGTCTCGGGAATTGCATACTTTCATCATCATCTCAGCCATTATCTGTCCACCGCTGAACATAGGCCATCCCCCATAGATTGCCGTAAGGAACGGTCCCGAGCCACTTGCAATACATTACAAGTCGTCACTCCATCTTGTGGAGGGTCCTCCTACACTGCGTTTGCCTGTAAAGAGTCGCCAGTCGAGAACTTTACTTCCCCATCGGTTGTTGGTTCTTCGTGTTACGTGACTAGCATATTGCCACTTCAGCTTGCTTATGCTTTAAGGATTGCGCACTTTGTATTAAATACAGAGTAGAATGATAGTGAAATAATAAGATATTTGTATTAGAAAGGTGGTTAGAAACTTCAAATGGTGATTCCATACACAAAAAACATTCGAAGTCGAAACAATTGTTGGAAACGACAAAAACACAGTGAGTTTATTAATTTCCCGTTACCTATGTATATAGACATCGAATAAAAAATGGACATAAGTTTAAAAAAAAATATTTGTATGTAAAAAATTTTGAGTTACGAATATTTTTTATTTTTTTTTATTTTATATTTTACTCAAAATATCGTATAAAAATAATACAGCCATACCCAGTGTATTCGACGAATTCCTCCAACAATGTCTTGACATATTCGAGGTCCTCTTGCTGTTCAAGAGGCAGCAACTCCACCGTCTCTTGGTTGCATTTGCTTTTAAATGAACCATCAATATCGTATACATAGGCTATACCACCTGGTGGAAGTAAAAAATAATAAATTTAGACATAGATACTCAATATGTATTGATTGATCCATTGGCGAAAAAAACCTTTCTCGAGAACCACTATAGAGTGGTTTTAAGGTTTTAGTATATAATTTGTTATGTTTTTTTTTTTATAAATTGACTAAAATATTTTTTTATGCATCTTAGAATGGCAATCAAGCTGACGGCCCACCTGATGGAAAGTGGTAATCGTCGCCTATAGACATTATTATAACTAAATATAACGATATTTGTTGGAGGTCCGAAAGTTTAGGTAGTGTGTCAATGCAAATTAATAATTAGGATTAATAAATAAATTAATTTATAGATAAATTAATAATTAATTAATTAATTTATAATGAGGAAACATGATTTAAAAACTACTTAAGCAATTTTACTGAAAGATCTGTCTCCTCGGAGTAACATAGACTATTTTATATTTTCTGTAAAAAAAGTGCGAAGCCGGAGCGAGTTGATAGTGAATAAATAAAACTCTTGTGAAATAGAACATTGAAGTATTTCTACAATACATATTATATTTTTCTTTATATTTATCGAAATATGAATCAATTTCAACATTTCATTAAGTGTTATTTTTGTGTGATCTATTTAGGCAAATAATATATATTTTAGAATAGAATAGAATAGAATAGATACATTTATTGCCAGTAAACTTACAATATAAAATATAAATAACATATACAAAAAGTGTCCCACACCCGGCAAAAGGAACCGGCTCAGCGGATGCTGTGAGTGTCCCAGCGCAATGTGTTTTGTTTCAATCTAATGCAATCAGTGAATCGTCCTGCACTGTCTTACACATGATTCATTACTTATTATTGTCAGTATTCATAGGTAATAATTACTTTTCAGCAAGCGGAGTGGGGAAGTTAGTATACAGCTTTTTAGTGGTGGCGCTGTAGTGGATACGTGTGGAGGTGCAGTGGGTAGTAGGTTTGTAGTAGAGGGTAGAGGGTAGGGCAGAGGTGGAGGATGTAAACGATGATTAGTGGCCATGTAGTGGATATCTACTGATTATCTAGGTTTGCGCTATCAGTATACGCTGGTGGGGCACTAGTGAGGGACGATAGGAGAGGATGATACCAGGTTAGTTAGCTCATCATGATGAATTCATCACGAATAAAACATGATGGTTACCAGGGTAGGAGCGTGGAGGTCGACCTGACGGCCACTAGTGTAGCGAGTGTGGTGTGGTGGTGTGTGGTGGTAGTGATGGCGGTAGGCGTACGTACCGGACATGCCGGCGGCGAAGTTCCTGCCGGTGAGGCCGAGCACGAGCGCGACGCCGGCCGTCATGTACTCGCAGCCGTGGTCGCCCGCGCCCTCCGCCACCGCCACGCAGCCTGAGTTACGCACGCAGAAACGCTCCGATGCTATGCCGCTGCACAGTACAACAATAAGCACGGTTAAATAGGTTTTTTTTAATGGGTGAAGATGGAGTGGTAACCCCGCCTGCGCTATCGGTATACACTGGCGGGGTACCAGTGAAGGGTGACAAGTGAGAATGAAGGCAGGTCAGTTGGCCCATAGTAACCAATTGAACAAGAATTAACCACTAGTTTCCAGGGAGAACCGCGTGGAGGTCGACCTGATAGGGTATATTGCTAACAATGGGGCTGTTAAATCTCATTACTAACAATCCCTTTCCCACCCGGTTAAATAGGTTTGAAAGAAAAACAAGCACTTACAATGTAATCCTGTCATGTCGTGAATGCCGCCATTTTAAATAATATGAGTATTTTATCGTTACCTACTCTACAAGTCCTTTCATTTGCACCCATATTAACAGGATTGACAAAACCATCCGCCATCTTGTGGCAATAGCCATTTTGTAAATATAATATTGAATACTGCAAAATATATTGTCTCCATAAATGTGCATGTAAAATTTCAGCGAGCAAGAGAAACTGGTTACAATTGAGCTTGTAAAATTTGACCTGACTTACACAAACTAACAGACACATTGCTAGTAAAAAAAAGCTTGCAATAAATAAATAATTACAGTTATAATTCTTAAAGGGGTAATCAGGGGTATTTGTCGGCTGTCGCCACTGTGGATACTATAACATTAGACATTTCATCAAGCATATTAATATATAACATGGTAAGGGGTAAAAGCCTACCGCTGTTACTCGGATTCACTTCATTTATTATAGGTATTTTTCGTCACCATAGAGTGAATAAGAAAACAACATACGAGGTCTGTCCGGAAAGTTCGTATAAAAGTGTTTTGGAATGCGAGAAAGAGGAGTGGGGGCCAGGTAAGCGCAGGACCCCTTCCTTATGTCCCTAACAATGCTTCAGTTCTGGTCTGACCGCCGTGCGGTGCGAACTGGCTTGTCACGCCATCTGTGAAGTTACTATAACGAAACCCCGTCGGCATGGAGCCCGCTTCCGTTGAAGAGCAGCGCGTCGTAATCAAAACTCGGCAAGAATAATATATAACAAGTGGCTAAAAAGATTCAGAGAGGGCCGAGAAAGCGTTCAAGATGACCCACGTTCAGGACGTCCTTCCACTTCACATTCCGACGAAAACGTGGAAAGAATTCGAACTTGTGTTAATGGGGACCGTCGTTTAACGGTCAGACAGGTGGCTGAAGAGCTTAATTTGGGCAAAACCGTGGTCCACGAAATTCTAAGAAACGAACTTCAAATGAAAAAAATTTGCGCCAAGATCGTTCCGTGAGTTTTTGAGTAAAAATTCCATTACGGTGACCGAACACCCCCCCTATTCGCCGGATTTGGCCCCGTGTGACTTCTTCTTGTTCCCAAAAACCAAATTGGTACTTCGGGGGCGGCATATTACACGACGGGGCAGCTGAGAAACCTTTTCAAGGAGCCTTCTCACAGTGGAAACGGCGTTGGCACAAGTGCATTATGTCACAGGGGGAGTACTTTGAAGGGGATAAAATTGATTTACCTGAATAATTGTAAAATAAAATTTTTAAAAAACTTTTATACGTACTTTCCGGACAAACCTCGTACTCAATGTGCCAATAAATCCACACGCTTTCATTTAAAAAATAGTTTACTGTTAACAGAGTCGTCCTGGTGAATTATAGTACAGGTTTAACACCTAATACAATACTTAATGTTATAGGTAGTAAATTTTTTAATTCTTTGTAGTGAGAAATAAATTAAAAAAAAAAAAGGGTTGCATAGTATACAAACCGGAAATAAGCTCGTCCAGACGTCGCTCCGTAAAGACACACATTTCCAACGATGACGTTCAAATGCGATTCGAACGGCGAGTTCTTTGGCGGGTAGATGATTATTGTACCGCCGGACAAGCCTTTGCCTAAAGAATGGAATAATATTAAAATTTAAAATTGGAACAACAAGAAGTTTCATAGAGTCCCTAACAGATCTGTTTGTACACTAGTACCTCTAATTGCATGTTATGATTTGAAGTATGAGATATAGCATTGAAATTTCAGAGTACAAAGACATAACGAACGTAAAGCCTCTACAGTCTGTAATTTCAGTGATACAGCATATGGTATAACTATCTGTAGGTATTACCACCTTAATGTTTAAGAATAGCATCGCGTGAGATGTACCGTTGAATGAATGAATGAATGAATTTTATTGCAAAAGATGTGGTACAATAAGGTCATATGGTAGTTTTATAATAGTTTCACACATTTTGTGTTGTCACATAGTTTATTTCGTGTCACACACGTTGAATCCGGTGTTGTCTATGGTTACCACTTCCCATCAGGTGGGCTGTCAACTTATTTTCCAAGTTGGATAAACTTAGGTCTACCTTCAGCAGGAGACACTAGTGGCTGAACTCATGACAATGATGAAAGTAGAACGGTGATCACAAATGCGTATACATACCAACGTAGTCGTTAGCATCTCCTTCTAGGGTCAGCGTGAGTCCGCGCGCGAGGAAGGCCCCGAAGCTTTGTCCGGCCGAGCCAGTCAACTGGATACGTACTTGAGTATCTTCTGGCAAACCCGCTTCGCCGTACTTCCTGACGGTACACAATAAACACAACAGTTAATAATACGCTACAATGTGTATTTCCATAGACAATTTAGGACAAAGTAGGAGTCACTTAAAAAAGTATAGAATATTCAGGGTACATTAGTATATATAATCGTTTCCCAACCGGGGGGTCGCGTTCTTTACTATAGGGGGTCGCAGACAGTTGAAAAATAATAAGACCTTGAAAGATTCGTTTGAAGTACGACGCGCGACTTTACTAATCCGATTATTAAAGATTATTCGATTGAGCAATTCATTCGGATTGTTCGAATGATTTTCAAATCATTCGACTACTAATTTTATTCATTCACTAGAAATAAACTGAAACTGAAGAAACCTCTTTACCCCCCTTTTGAAGAACCCCATGCTGTAGTCTCTTTGGAAAACTTCGGCAGGGAGCTCATTCCATAATATTGCTATATATTAGTTACCCGTAATCAAAAGTATACATATAATGTGTGTAAATAACAGTCTTGAATTGGCAAGTAACTGACTTGGAAAAAATAGTAAAGAAAAACTTACATAGCAATATGGTAGGAGAGGGTAGTAGTGAAGGCTCGGTCCTCGTTGGTGATGCGCATACTAATGTCCACTTCTTTCTGCGTGCCGTCCAGGATACTGGAGCACTGCTCGATCAGTTGGTTGTCGAGTCGCTTCTCCAGCTGGAAGTCCTGGGGACCACGCAAGAAACATTCTATTAATGCGCCTCTATCGTCGACAATCAGCCATGTGTGTCCTGGCATAGAATAGGCCACCCCTTCCTTTCCCGTGGGTGTCGTAAGAGGTGACTAAAGAGGGCGAGGGATGGGCAGCAGCATCCCTCTTAAAACATCTCTAAAAGCATAACTTCGGCTGCCAACCCGCCTGCCAAACGTGGCAACTACTGGCAAAACTCCCCATATAGAGGTTTATGTCCAACAGTGGACAGTCAACGGCTGAAATGATAATAAAAAAATATCGTCGACAAACAATTTTTATATTTAATCCTCGAAGTAATCTCCTATTATTATATACTAGCTTTTTTCTACGCAGATTTCAAAATTCAACGAAATAAACCACTTGTAGATGCTGTATCGAAATAAACTATTTACGAGATTCTAAGTTAGAGCTTCAGGAATACAATTGTGATAAATAGACAGAGAAAGTTTAAAAAAAAAATAGTGTTTTAGTTTCTATTGATCCTATTAAAACATTTTCCATCAATTATATATTATACATATATATTTTTTGAGGAGTTATGAGTTTTCGAAACCGTCGTGTATGTATGAATAAATCTTCTACTTATTTCCCTATTTGGGGTCAGCCCTCCTGATACTTTTACGCTATTCTTGGCGGTTTTGTGTCATCTCAGGTATTGAGTCAATCATCAGTAACTATTGTTGCATAACCTGAACCCAAGTAGTTGGTGGATGTTCACATCGTATGTATGAGATAGAAAAATGTAAGACGCAAAAGATGTTAATAAGAATAGAAGCCTGTGGTACTCGGTTTTCTATATTATTCGATATAAGTCCCTTATAGGAGTTTTTTTTATACGACTTAGAATGGCAAACAAGCTGCCGGCCCACCTGATGGAAAGTGGTAACTGTCGCCTATAGACATTAGCAGTACCATGGACATAACAGAGTATACTGTTTCGCTCATGATACCCCTATGTGTTGCCATTCCTGAGGACTAAGGTGTTATTCCTCTGTACCTTGTAAATTCACGCCATATCCTACCGTTCAAACCGAAACACAGCCATACAAACACAACTGCTTCACGGTAGAAACACGAATGGGACAGAGGTACTCAAGCAATCAACTTTTGTACAAAGTTTCCCTCTGGTTGACGGAGACTTTGTCAGGGTAGTTAGGGTAAGAAGAGAGAACGTACAGACAGGCACTTACTTGCGATTTCGACCCTCCGACAATATTAACACCAGGCCGCATGTGCAATGCGTTCTTTAATATCAGACTGAGGTTCAACATCCTCGCCTTGGGATTGTCGTTGTTCTCCCGCACTTTGAGAAGGTCAGTCCGACCGATGAGATCTTGGAAGCGGCGGACGCCCACTTCGGCCATGTGTTGTCGGATCTGGAATGTTTAAACGTCATTAATACATAACATAGAGACACTTTTATATTTAAATAAATAGATTTATTATGTTTATTATATATTTATTTAACATATATTATTATAAATATTTAGGTATTAGTTAAGTATGGTATTTATTTGTAAATATTTTTTTAACACTAGCGCTTTTTTAATAGCTTATTACGTCAAATAGCTATCGCCTTTTTCTTTTTTCCTTTACCCAAAGGTTATATGGAAGAGATTAATTTTGCAATAATACCGCCTTTTGTACATCATAAGCGTAATATATAGTTTTGTATTAATCTTTAAGTGATATAATAAAAAATAAATTAATTAAAAAAAAAATCTCTTTCTAAAATTATATCGATCTTTCTTATTCGGAATTTACATTTACGTTACACGAAAAGAACGAAGAAAGAACTAATCCAGTTAATTTATGTATGTCTTCTTTTTACTGAAAGTTGTTACTGCAGTACATACTTTCTCATAAATCTTTTGAAAAACAAACTTCCCTCATTAGAATTCCAGTGAAGTATAGAAAAAAAAAATTGTCTTAAATTGTGACAAAATATATATGGAATTTTATTTACCCATTTTAAAGAAGGAATATCAAATCCAAACAAAAAAGTTGGCAAAGATATGGACGGCATGCAAAAAAAAAACAATCGACACAAGAATCTTTTTAAATGCGTTTTGGAAAAGCATAATCATTACCTCCTCAGCGAGCATGAAGAAGTAATTGACGACATGCTCCGGCTTGCCGGCGAATTTCTTGCGCAGCACTGGATCCTGTGTGGCGATGCCCACCGGACACGTGTTCAGGTGGCATTTGCGCATCATGGTGCAACCTGCAGTAATAAAATACTATATTGGTTAAGTAGAATGAGCCAGCCCTTCCTTAGCCGTGAGTGTCATAAGAAGCGGCTAAGGGAACTTAATAGTTGAGGGATAGGCAGTAGCTTTTCTTTTAAAATATTACCAAAGACTAAATGCGGTCGCCAATCTGCCTGCCAAGCGTGGCAACTACTGGCTAAACTCCCCTTATGGGGAAGGCCTATATTCAGTAGTGGTCAAATAACGGCTGATATGATGATGACAGTGATGATTACACTAATACATGTTTATACATATAGAAGCATTGGGATCCTTAGTGTCGACATCTCTAGTGATATACAATTCCGTGGCCACCTCGAAGATAAGGCGAAGGTGGCATCCAAAAACTCGGTGTGCTCAATAGAGTGAAGCATTACTTCACGCCGGATCAGCGATTAATTCTGTACAAATCGCAAATCCAGTCCCACATGGAGTATTACTGTCACTTATGGGTGGGAGCACCTAAATACCAGCTTGAACTCTTCGACTCAGTGCAACGACGAGCTATGAGTATTGTCGGTGATCCCAGACGTTTTGAAGAACTCATCCCAAGGTGATGAGTTCTTCAAAATGTGGGTAAAGAGGTTTCTTCACGGTCGGCAACGCGTGCGTAATACTTCTGGTATTGCAGGTGTTCATAGGCTACGGTAACCACTTACCATCAGGATGTTTTGATGCCAAATCAGTCAAGTAAAACTATCTCATAATAGTAAAAAAAGATCAAAATTCATAAAACAAATATTACCGAGTGCAATAAGTGGCGCTGTACTGAAGCCGAACTCGTCAGCGCCAAGCAACGCGGCCACCATCACGTCGAAACCGGTCCTTATCTGGCCGTCCGCTTGGACCACCACTCTAAAAAATAAAGAGATAAAAAAAATTGTCAAAAACATTCTTAATATGTATTTTAGTTTTAATTTTCGGTTTTAATACTGGTCTTTAAAATTTTATTCAAAAAAAGAATAACATAATCAGGAAATCTTTCTTATTTCAATAGATTAGTTTTTTTTTTTATTGTTTCATAAAATAATGCAAAATGTGTTAAATTCTGATATATTTTGAATTCTTTATTTCTATATAAAGTTTAGCTGAACGAAGTATGTCATATGGCAACTGTGAGATTAATATATGTACTGACCTGGATCGAAGATCGTTTAGCACAAGGACCTGGTGGGTCTCAGCGATGCCCAGCTCCCACGGGAGGCCGGCGCACTTGATTCCTGTCCACGAGCTGGCACCAGTACCCCCATCGTGTCCCGAGATCACGATATGTTCCGCTTTGCCCTGCAACCACGATCACATAACGTATAGAAGGTACGGGGAAAAAGGGAGTTAACATAGTGACCATTGAATGTATAATATGGTGATCGAAAAAGGCGGGAAACGTTCAATTTGGCAATATTCTGAGGAATGAAACTAAAATTAAAACACTTTACACTGGCAGGAATGGTCGTAAAAAGACCGATTGCCATTAAAGAAAAAAAAAACACCGTGGCGGTGAGCGGGCGGCGACCTTACTTACCTTGGCGACGCCGGAGGCGACGACGCCGACGCCGACCTCGGAGACGAGCTTGACGGAGACGCGCGCGCGCGGATTGGCGCACTTGAGATCATAAATCAGCTCGGCGAGATCCTCGATCGAGTAAATGTCGTGATGCGGCGGCGGCGAGATCAGACCCACTCCAGCCACCGAGCACCGCGTGCGCGCGATGTCCTCCGTCACCTTGTACCCTGCGCACGGGACGACACGGCACGTCACGTCACGTCACGTCACGTCACGACCATAATAGATAGGGCGGACATTGCTTTTTTATTTTCCATCAGGTAAACAGTAAGTTTATTTGCCATTGTTAACCAATTTCAAAGAAAGGACATTCTTATTTTAATTATTTTTCTCTTTACCTCAGAACTCCGACAGTTGTAAACCGATTTGAAAGATTTTTTTCTTATCTAAAAGGATATACTTTCAGATTGATTTTTTTTCAAATTTCGTTTCAGTAGTTTAGTTTGTAAATAAAAAAAAAAAACTCATTTTGCCATGACCGAAGTCAGGTTTTTTATGAAACACAATCTTAATTTTAAATTGTACAAAAATATATAAAATACACCAATGTTAATCATTATACATTTTATGATGCTATAGTAAACTTATAATTTCATACTTTATATCCAAGAAAGACAAAAATTAAAAAACGCACAATATTCCCAAAACTCAACAGAATTTACAGTGGAATAACACTTAAGTCCTCAGGAATAGCAACGCATGGGGAGTAACATGGGCGAAATAGTATATACTGTTATATCCATGGTACTGTCCATGTCTATAGGCGACTGTTACCACTTTCCATCAGGTGGACCGGTAAGAAAGAAAGTGACAAAACAGTGTAATAATTAAAGTATAGTAGAAGGTTTTAGTTTTTACGAATAAGGATATAAATATATAAATAACTTACCCGGCAACTCACCGCCCTCTCCGGGCTTGGCCCCCTGCGCCATCTTGATCTGCAGGTCATCAGCGTGCGCCAGGTACGAGGCTGTCACGCCAAACCGGCCCGACGCCACCTGCTTGATGGCTGAACGTTTGTTGTAGTCGGGGTCCTGCGACAGAAGCAAATATTAACGTCTTGATGTTTAAAACGTCACGCACACTGTCAGTGTTTAATACTATTTATAAATGACGGAGCTATGAGGTAATTAATAATAATAAAAAAATCAATAAAAAACCAAATTTTTCGAAGTCGGTTAAAAATCGGTAAATACCGGTATGTTATTTTGATAAGTGAAGTATCGGTATTATAAATTGTATAAGTATTTTACAGTAAAAGAACCGATAAGCAAAAACATTTTCTCGAAGTTAAGGAGAGGAGATAGCAAACTAACGCCCGGCAGAAGCACAGTCGGCCGGAGTTCAGGGCCTTAGGGAGAGAAACTGGCATACAATGCGGGCAGTATCTAACAGTACCTGCATTCTAGCAAAATAAATTCATTTCATTTCATTTCTGCATCTTTCACGGGAGAGAGTTGCCTTTGAATTCCAACCATCTGAGATGTTGTTTCAGACTGATAGGGGTAAGACCGTTCACTGACAAAATGATTGGAATGATTTCGGTCACCTCGTGAGCCAAGTCGAGATATTTTCTTTTTCTCGGTTTCGACTTTTACGAGGTTCTCGTCATGCGGTATGATGATATCCACCAAAACATCCTCGACAGTGCCCGATCCATCATCACGATATCAGATTTGTTCGCAAGAACTGTCCTGTCAGTGACGATGGATCGGTTTATTATTACTATACTCACGTACTATTTGAGTAAATAAAACGTATCTCAACCCACCTGATTGAGGTAGCGGTCCGCGTTTTCGCCTCCTTCGCCGGTATTTGACTTGCCGCCGATGCGGTTCATGGCGATCGCTAGCGACGTGTGAGCCTCCAACGATATCGACCCGAACGACATAGCCCCTGTCGTCCATAAATGTTTAAATTAAATTTAAATGAAATCACCCAGTAGCCTATCATGATCGGATAGAGATCACTTAAATACTGCGTATGTGTGTGTGTATGTAGCAAGATTTTGTGTAAAGATAAAAGCCTTTAACACTCGGGTCATTTAAGAGCAGAAAGATCCTCTTAAATGGATCTGACATAAAGATGGGTACAAACTACAAACACACATAAATTTTATTGCTTTTGTGTGGAATCAACTAAAAAGAGGAGGCAGGAAAGGCTTAGACAACCTCACAAATTTATTGGTCCTTTGAGCCAGGATATATCCTACAAACATAACTCGGGACGAGAAAATAGCTTAGCTTCGTGAATAGAAAGAAAGAAAGAAAGAAATAATTTAATCGAAGAAACATGCGGCCCACACAGTAGCGCACAAAACAAGAACAAAAGAAATCAAAACAAAACAAACAAAAGAAAATAATACGTATATATACAAATAGAAAGCAATTTAATAAAAAAAAATTATAATAATAATCAATAAACAAACAAACAAACAGTAGGATAACTCTTGAATCCAACATCGATCTCAATCCAAATCTATTGCTAATGACAATTTAATACTGCACTCATGTAACAACAGTTAGGAATTAGCTACAATTAGGATCAGTCTATAATAGATTGCATTGGCATGTTTGGGTAGGTAGGTAATAGGTATGTTTCCCAAATAATACCACAATTCCTTTTCTTGGTTGAATTGAAAAGTTTGCGCTATATCATGGCCATCAAAGAAAAGAAAACATATATTAATAAATCGTTTTAACTACTTGACATACCTGTGGCGAATCGTTTGACGATTTCTGATGCAGGCTCCACTTCGCTGATAGGTATCGGCTCGTCCAATTTAACCAATTCCAGTTGACCACGCAGTGTACACGCCCGAATGGATTCTAGAGCACTTTCCCTATAAAATATATCAAATATTAGTAATAAGTAAAATAAAGATCGGAAACTTCTTATCAAAGATATATATAGATATCCAATAACGTAAAAAAGTAAAGTGATGCTTAGCGAATAGACCGACCTTTTCACATTCGTGCAAATTTTATTACCAGAAGTTCTCCCATTTTAGCCATTAGTCTCCGGCCGCCATTTCGTCCACGCATATTTTGCATTAGGCCATCAATCTCCGGCCGCCATTCAATATGTCAATTTGCCTGAGGATGCCTCGTTTAGAGGTGAAACAAGTATCAAGGAAGGTTGTAGAACTTCTGGTAATAATAATAGTAATCAATCTTCGAGTATTGGTATTCGCACGCATACTAAAGTTAGAGGAATTAAACAAAACTATTCTAATCAACTAATCAGTGATATATACTTACGTAAAATAATACTCAATTTATAAAAGACAAAATTCCAAAAACGTTACAATAAAAATGATGATAGCTAAATAAAATTCGAAAAAAAAAAAGAATTTACAAATCATAATTATTTCAAAAATCAATGCAAATCACCTGAACTTATCGTAGGCATAGTTGGAGTTGCCGACGGCGGCCTCCTGTAGGTTGGCGATGGACAGCGGGTCGTTGATGTGCTTCTCGCCGCCGGCGCGCCAGTGGTAATGTCCCGGGTTTCTGTTAGTACAATCATTTACAATTTTAGATAACATTCAAGAGAACAATATAAAAAAAATACATAATCCTACAGAATAAATATTTTAAACTGTATTATTTTAATTATATACTGTATTATTTATATTATATTTTAATATTTATAATTGTTTCAAATTACCTCAAGACAAGAGTGTCGTTATTGTTTCCGTACGTCAGAGATTGTCTGTCGAATATTTCCTTCGACAAGATTTCAAAGTTAACGCCACCTGGTTACACAAAACAAATTATTTAAAAAAAGTACAATACACATTTCTTTTTTTTTTCAAGACCATCAAAAAATATTACACAACGCCATCTAGTTCCAAATTAAGCAGAGCTTGTACTATGTTATTTGCATGTGACATTCTTTAAATTTATAAAATTATATAAAATAGGGTAATGCAATACCTTCTAAATTAAAAAAAAAAATCATCAGTTGTTTAAAATTCATAAAAGTATCGCGTAACAAACAAAATAAAAAAAAAAACAGTTCTACATGAGTAATTAACATCCATAACAGTCAAATAAAAAAAAAAAAAACAAAATCTCACCGATTCTCGATTGGGTGCCTTTAAAGCACTTATCAATGACATCCTCATTCAGGCCAACCGCCTCGAAGATTTGCGCGCTCTTGTACGACTGCAGAGTGCTGATGCCCATCTTGGCCATGACCTTGGCCAGGCCCGTCTCTATCGCCTTCTGGTATGCCCGGTAGATGTCCTCGTTGGTGAGCGACGGGTCGATCAGGTTGTCGTTGCGGAGTGCGAACGCGAGCTCGAACGCTAGATACGGACAGATCGCGTCCGCGCCGTACCCTGCACAGTGGAAGGAGGACGTAATAGGTACAATCATTATACATTCCTGTCTATTAGTAATCTTCCGGTATGAAAAGGAAATTGTACGCTGACCTAATGGTTTCACATTATAAGGTCCCATTTGTTACAAATGCAAGAATACTGTGTTATTCTCTTAGTCATCTTATAGGATATTCTGGGGATGACACGTGAAAAATGCCGTTTGATCATCATCGTTAAATCAGTTATTATCTGTCCACTGCTGAAAGCCTATGGGCTGCTATAATAAACGGTTCTGAGCCATGCAGAAAGTCTGTGGAATTTCTGCAATGAATTTGAGGTCGTCATTTCATCTAGTGCGTCCTACACTGCATTTGTCCGCAAGGCATCGCCACTCAAGAATAATTCTTCCCTCATTTTGCGTTTGATAGCATTAATATTTTATTCTGTCTACACTTATGAGTCTTGCAGTACTCTACGGTACTGGTCCTTCAATCGATTATAGAACTAAAAATTGTACAACCTGATGACTTACCAAGCAAGACACACATGTGATGAACTTCCCGTGCTTCAGCAGTCTCCACAATGATGCCCACCTTCATGCGCTGTCGCGTTTCGATCAGGTGATGATGTACAGCACCTGTGTACAGAAAATTTGTATATTATAATTTGACATTGTTATACAACAGTCATGATAGAGAAACATCAACAATTTTATAGATAATAAAAAAAATTATATTATAAATTAAAAACAAATCTTATTTGGTGATAATGACAATGATAAAAGGGTTATCTTGAGCTCCTAGTAGGGTAGGTACTTGTTACAGTAATTAGTGACCATAGGGCAGTGAAATGTAGAGACGGTCGGAGCCTCGCTACAGTGTACAGTGTACAGTGTACAGTGTAGTGTAGTGTACAGTACCTAGCGCGAGCAGCGAGCTGACGGGCACGCGGCGCGGGCCGGCGGCGCGGTCGGACAGCACGAGCAGCTGGCAGCCGGCCGCCGCCGCGCTGTACGCCTCGCCCGCGATCCGCGTCAGTGCCGGCTCCAGCCCTCCCGGCCCGTCCGTGTAGTCGAACGTGCAGTCCAATACTTTGGTCTGGGGACGACGTGGCGATTTAAAAAATATATACAAAAATTATTCACAATTTTTTCTTCAAAAGCAATCGGCCATTATTTTAACGTCTATAATAATACATTTTATTTGCTTTAAATAGGTGATAAGGAGAGGAAGAGGGAGACTAAGGCATAGTTACATCAGGCGGATCAAAGAAAAAGTTGGTGTCGTGTCGTATCAAGAGATGAAGAGACTCGCTGAAAATCGTAGTGAGTGGCAAGAGCTCCACTGACAAGAGCGCAGCTCTTAAATTGGATAGACAGCACGCAGCAGAGCTGACGGGCACGCGGCGCGGGGGCCGCGGCGCGGCCGGACAGCACGAGCAGCCTAGATAGTGATAACAAAATTCTTATTGGATAAGTAAACAGATCCATATTCAACTTGTAGAAAGTATGCAAATTATAATATATCTATATTTTTTTAATACAAATACCAACTTGCCAGCGTCATGTATGAGGGGCTCATACTAGAATCGTTTTTCAGTCAACATATTCAGTTATTCATTAGTAAAGTATGTACAATAGGGATAGGTAATATATCGCAATACCTATATATTTTAGTTACAATATCTATATACTGGCACTACAATGAATATATCTGTTATTCAATATTTAACGTCGGAATGAAGAAGCCGATCGAAATTAATATAGATATTAGACCGGTACAGGCGATATCGGAGTGGATAATGACCTTTTTCCGCCATCAATATCCAAAAGAACGTAATATATAGATATCGGAGCGGTAGCAATAGTTGTCACGTTTGACAAGCGAGTTGGCAATCGCAGTTAGACTTTTAGTGATGTTTTAAGAGAGACGCTGTCATCCATCTTCGACCATTAAATTTCCTTAGTCGCCTCTTACAACATCCACGGGAAAGGAAGGGGTGACCCATTCTATGTGATTATACGACAAATAGGAAAAAAATAATGGTTTATTATTTTGATAAAGCAGTAGTTACCGTCCAGCCGCGGTGGCGGGTGCGTATGAGCGCGGCGAGGTCCGGCAGCGTGAGGACCGGCTGCTGCAGGAACAGACGGTGCACGAAGGCGGCGCTGGGCTCCAAGATATTGGCGGTGGGGCCGATCGGGCACAGCAGCGACATCACTATCTTCTCCCTGCGTCCACCGTCATAAATCAAGTAATACATTCTATTCAAGTAGTTGTACGTCATAATTTTTTTTGTAAAATACATTTTCCATTTCTAATTTACCTTCCAAAATTGATAAATGTATAAGATTTTCCGATTAGATGAGAAATTTACTTGATAGGTTTTATAGCTTGCAGTTATAAGAATATATATAATATTTTTTTTATAACAAAAGTTTATTCTTTTTTAGTTTAGAAAAGTAACAGCTGAATTTCTTGGTTTTTCGTTGCTGAAATTGTATTCCGAATAAGGAAAAAAAAAAAAGAAAAAGAATTATAAAAAATGACTTTTCACAAATGCTAAAATTTAAGTTTCCTGAAATTAATATTTCTTTCTTTTATGGATAAACTCATAATGGTTGAAAAATTCAAACAGTAACTAATTTATTTTTCCAATAAAAAAGTTGAAATACCTGAATGGATCGATCGGAGGATTGGTAACTTGAGCGAACAACTGCTTGAAATATTCATATGGCAGTGGTTGGAACTGCGAGAGGCACGCGAGCGGGGCATCGTTACCCATGCTGCCTAATGCTTCTTTTCTGTAAAGAACATAATTGAAAAATGAACATTTCAGTCTTGGAAATAACACGTATTTTACTTGTTACGATTAACAGCGTTCATAACTTTGGTTTACTGAAGTGTGACAACGTCGCAATGATTTGTAAATTTTCAAAAAACAATTTTTACTATTTCTGGCTAATTATTAAAAAAAAAGTTCCCTTCAGTGAACTAAAACGCTAATCGATCTGAAACATTGTAAAAAGTTCAACTGTTTTTGAAAATTGACAGATAATTGCGACGTTGCCATACTTAAGCTAAAGTAGTATATATGAAAATATCTATATATATTTTAGATACAATATCTATATACTGGTCCAATAACGAATATGTTAAAAGTCAGTTATGAAAAAAATAATATTGGACAAGAGATTTTTAACACATTCGAAAATAGATATCTGACCGATATAGACGATACTCAAATGGGTTAGGACATTTTCTCCTCACCAATATCCAGAAGAACTCAATTGATATCGGATCGGTATTTGTATTATCCATGCCTAAGCTTAAATATAAACGCTCTTAACAGGATCACGTTTTTTTTATGGGTGAAGATTTTTTTTTATTATTATTCTAAGGGCTTTTATCTTCTTCAGGTATATCAGCCTTATCGTACCCTGAACTGATTTCTCAAACAAAACTTTATCTACTTTCCCTAGACGCGGAGAGAGAAGAATTAATGGGCATCAATAATTTACAGAGATGTTAAAAAATTTCTGGTTTAAGTTCAGCTAACACAGATTGCATAAGACCAACATAAAATTTATTTAAGTTAAACTGGCGCATGAATTCTTCTCTTTCCTGAAATGGTAACCCTGCCTGCGCTATCGGTACACGCTGGAGGGGCATCAGTGAAGGATGATAGGTGAGGATGAAGGCAAGTCAGTTGGCCCATGGTGATCAATTGGACAAGAATTAACCACTATGGTTTTCAGGGGGAACTGCGTGGAGGTCGACCTGATAGGGTATATTAACAGGATCACGTTAGGTGTATCATTTGAAAAAGAACTAACAATAAGGAATACTAACTTGTCCTGTATCATCGGCAGCAATAGCATGTTGATGGACTCGATTGTGTATCCGAAGAGAGCGAGCCGTTTGTCGGACAGCCCCGAGATGGCGCTTTGTGCGCTGCTATTCTCCACCGCCGCGCTGTTTGACTCCGATACCGATTTATGAATATCTTCCATAGTTATCTGCGCAATAGTGTTGATATTTTAATGCCTTAGATATGTGGCAAATGAATCCATCGATAGATACGTTTTCGTTACTACACAAGACAGAACAAGACTTCGAACGTTGCTGTGTCGTTTTATCTTACGCAGGCGTAAACTATGACGTATATATATGGGCTGACTATCCATTTAAGCTAACCTGTTTAAGAACTAGCAAGACACAAGATGTTGCCGTCTCGTTCCATCTCTTGTATAAGCTAGCATAAACGTATTTACAAATAGATGCGTATGACACTTTGTCTAAAGGAATTAGACAAAGTGCACGATGTTACAGATAAATATTCTATAGTCTTTTTCTTTTTCACAGAGCATGGGTACCGTAGAAAAAAGAGGTACACAAGTAGCGACTCCATAAGAGAAGTAGTGCAGAGTAGAAAGATCATAGACAATCAGTGACTATCTAGTGATTGATTGTGAAACAAGGATCTCAAATGTTTTGTCTATGGGAGATGATTAGCAGTGCGTAATAAATGATTGAAATAAAGATGTGCTTTCATATTCATGTCTCCCTAAAGAAAATAGACAAATAATTTGTTAGCTCTGCATTTAATAAATTGCTTTTAGTGATTAAAAAGAAGAGAGTAAATTTAAGAGTAATTTCCAAAGAGTAAAGAGTATAATATCTATATATTGCAATATCGATATATTACAATATCTATATATTACAATACCAATATATATTTGTCCAATAACGGATATAATATCGCTGATCCATTATATATAGTATCGAAATGTAGAACCCAATCGAAATACAGTACAGATATCCAACTGGTACACGCGATATTAAAATTGATAATACTCTATAATACCTCATGCTATGTGAAATAGATCTTTTTTATGCTACTTAGAATGGCAAACAAGCTGACGGCCCACCTGATGGAAAGTGGTAACCGTCGCCTATAAACATGAGCAGCACCATGGACATAACAGAGTATACTATTTCGCCGATGATACCCCCCATGCGTTGCCATTCCTGAGGACTCAGGTGTTATTCTTCTGTACCCTGTAAATTCACGCCATATCCCACCCTTCAAACCGAAACACAGCCATGCAAACACAACTGCTTTACGGTAGAAACACGAATGTGTCAGAGGTGCCTTAGCAAACGACTTTTGTACAAAGTCTCCCTCTGGTAAAATAATTAAATAAATGTAGTATAATAATAATAATAATAAAAAAAAAACTTTAAGTCAATATCTCATATAGAAAATACTTTAAAAACTTACGAAGGCTTACAACTAGTCATTATTACTATGATAAATATAAAAGTGAGTTTGTTTGTTACCTTATAGCGCCTTAACAGCTCTTAACAAATTACTATGAAATTTAGTAAACATACACCTATTTATATGGGACAGAGGATTAGCTACTTGTTATCCCGATCACGCGAACCAAGTCACGGGTAAAAGCACGTATTCTATGATTTATTTCACAGAAAATATATACTAGTTACGGTTTTCTTTTTTAGTTTTTTAAAGCCCACTTAAAATTTTGTCTCTGGTTACACGTGAAACATAAAACCAATATAAATCAAATTAAACGGATATTTTTAAAGTTCATTCGAGTTATTACACAAAATAACAATAGCCTCTTAGTAAAAAAAAAAAAAACAAATAAGCATTACTTTTCTATACTAAACATAGTGCACTACTATACTGAGTAGGGATGGGTAATATATAGCAATATCTATATATTTTCGTTACTATACCTATGTACTGCTCCAATAATGAATATGTCAAATGTATGCTATCAAAAAAAAAATTGGATAACAGACGTTTAACATATTCAAAAATAGATATCCGACCGATATTGGCGATTGTGATAACCTTTTTCCGCCATCTGTATCTAGAACCCAATATATAGATATCGGATCAGTATCTATATTACCCATGCCTACTAAACAGTGTGTTTCTCTAATTTGAGCAAAAATCCGTCAATACAACGTCAAATCTCTCTTCATAATAACTTTGACAGAAATTGCCGAGTACTCAAATGCGAGTGAACTGTACAAGCGGTAAAAGCTGCTACGAATTCAGTCAACTAATAAATATATCTATTAATAAAAGCCAAATTATATAGAAATATAAAAGCAAAATTTTGTCGAACATTCCAGCAATTTTGTAGTCACTCACATGCCCCTAACGTTTGCACTCACCATCTGACAAAATGTTTTATGTTATCCCAACAGCAGACCACATGAAGCATAGAAAGAGAGAGTGAATGTTAGATCATTTCACTACAAATCAATTTATCTTCAAAATTCCAAATTATACTCTAAGAGGTTTGAAATAAAAGCTCATTTAAATCGTCACTTTTATCATGACTCTACTGAATAATATTTCGATCGATCGATCCCATACATGGAAGATATTTAAAAAAAAAAATACGGGTCCAAATATATAATATTTATAACCAAAATAATATTTTTTCGAAATTTCGTCTGCCTGTCTGTATGTATGATTGTTGTGGCTTCACGCAAAAACTACTGCGCCAAATTGATTGTTCTTTTGACAGTTGTGTCTCTGAAAACTAACTCTAACTTAATATGTATTAGGTTACTCTTGAGATAAATTCCAATAAATCGATAATGAAATTGGGACGTTTCGTACTCTCGAATTGCAACACTAGCGACATAATTATTCCATATTGTTCTTATAGATGCATATTAGTATAACTTGCCAATGTAAACTATTGTAAACCGATCCCAATTATAACCTTATTCTTATTTGCTTCATGGGTGCAGTATAAAATTGTCATTGACATTAAATTGGATTGATATTAGATTCAAAAGTAAACCTACTGGTGTAATACATCTTGAAATGCCATCTAAAAGTGGTCATTAGTTTTCCTACTTCTGAAATCCATACGTACGAAGCAGCGGACAAAAGCTAGTGAAATTATATAACTTCGGACAGTTAAAGTCTAAGAAAATCATCAAATTCTTAATTAATTACAATAAAAAATATTAATTTGAACATGCACAAAATATTATTAATGAAACTTTTTTTTAATACATGTAATAGGGCATCGTATTATTTTCATTTGATTGATTTAATGCATACTTCAATAAGATACTTTACATATTAGATTTAGTACTAGCATCAATCAATTATTACTAGATATTACTTTATTATAAGCATATAGTCGATTTGTTATTACCAGTCTAGTATTTATTGCAATGATGCAACTTTCAACATTAATAAAATCAGGAATAACAATTTTTTTTTTAATTATTGAATGTATTATTAGGTATCTTTGCCAATATACAATCAGTGACAGGAATTAAGCACAGTGCTTTATTCTGACGTATTATAATTATATCAATATTCTAATACATGTAAGTACAATGAAATTAATGCCAAATTACCTGAAATTGATATAGTGTACGATAATTCGAATTCCTACAGGAATAAATTGCTGAAGCACTCTGTACAACAATCTTATGAAAATTAACTCTAATTGTCATAATAAATATTTTTTTAAATATTTTTTTTTTAATTTAATTCACTCATAATCTTATTTTCTGATATTGCTCACAACTTAGATTACGTGTTTATTTTTGTTATTTACTTAATTTTCTTACACTGTATAATTATGTTAAAGTGAATGCTGTGAATACTTATAATAGGCATGTGCATTAATATTGTATTATATTTAATGTTTGTTATACCTATATGTTATAATACAATATGCTGTTGGTGTTCCCTAAATAAATAAATAAAAAAAAGTGTCACATGCAATTATAATAATATATTATGTTCCCTTCAAAAATACTATTTCTAATGTAAATTATGAGCAATTTTGTTTTAACTAAATTCTTTCAGAAAGTGATAATTTATTATTTCTAAATATGACATATCTCTAGTAGTAGTAAGTTATTAAAAATCTGTTACTATAAATATTTTTTTAGAATATTCACATCTCCCCTGTTAAGGAGAGGAGATAGCAAACTAACCCCCGGCAGAAGCACAGTCGACCGGGGTTCAGGGCCCCAGAGATAGAAACCGGCGTACAATACGGGCAGAATCTAAGAGCTCCGCTTTCTGCATCTTTCCCGGGAGTGAGCCGCCTCGGAATCCCAATCGTCTGAGATGTTGTTCCAGACTGATTGGGATAAGACCGTTCACCGACATAACGATTGGAATGATTTCGGTGGATGTCACCCCCCAATTTTCGATCACCTCGTGAGCCAGGTCGAGATATTTTCTCTTTTTATTATTATTATTTTATTTAATTTTTTATTTTCATTGTATATTTGTTGTTAAAATTAAACTATTTTTTAAATTCATGTAAGTTAACAATCTCCTCCTTTTAAGAAGTCGGTTAAAATAATAAATTCTCTTAATCATATAATAAACGCGAAAGTTTGTAACAATGGATGGATAGTTAGATATTGTTACTCTATCACGGAAAAAGTATTGAATAAATTGGAATGAAATTTGGTACACAGGTAGGTTATATACTAATTTAGCATATAGGATATTTTAGGTACTGATTCACGCGGGCGGAGCCACGGGATACAGCTAGTATAATATATAAGTATTCACCTGTTCCTTGAGCCACTCCGAGTGCGGGCGGCTGCGTGCAATATGCAATTTCAGCTCCACATCTTGTATGATCCTCTTATCTTCTGTGTCTACCAGCAACATGCGGCCAGGCTTCAGGCGGCTCTGATGACATTAGACAATAAAATTGACACATATTGATATTAATTTCTATTATTTAAAAACAAAATTTGAATAAATCTTGTACTACGAGGTTTGTCCGGAAAGTACGTATAAAAGTTTTTTAAAAATTTTATTTTACAATTATTCAGGTAAATCAATTTTATCCCCTTCAAAGTACTCCCCCTGTGACATAATGCACTTGTGCCAACGCCGTTTCCACTGTGAGAAGGCTCCTTGAAAGTCCTCTGGTTGTAGGTTTCTCAGCTGCCCCGTCGTAGCTTTTTTTATCTCATTTATGTCCCCCAAATGCCGCCCCCGAAGTACCAATTTGGTTTTTGGGAACAAGAAGAAGTCACACGGGGCCAAATCCGGCGAATAGGGGGGGTGTTCGGTCACCGTAATGGAATTTTTACTCAAAAACTCACGGACAACAAGAGAGGTGTGGGCAGGGGCATTGTCGTGGTGAAAAATCCAACGCCCCTCTCGCGCCAATTCTGGACGAACTCGTGCCACACGAGCTTTGAGGCGTCTGAGCACATCGACGTAGAATTTTCCATCAACTGTCTGGCCTGGAGGGACGAATTTTTGATGGACAATCCCCCGAACATCGAACTCTTTCTCGGCCCTCTCTGAATCTTTTTAGCCACTTGTGGACGGTTGGTTCCTTCACAGCATCATCCCCATAAACTGTTCTGAGATCGGCAAAAATTTCACGGCCATTCTTGCCGAGTTTCGAGAGAAACTTGATTACGACGCGCTGCTCTTCAACGGAAGCGGGCTCCATGCCGACGGGGTTTCGTTAAGAGGTAACTTCACAGATGGCGTGACAAGCCAGTTCAGACCAGAACTGAAGCATTGTTAGGGACATAAGGAAGGGGTCCTGCGCTTACCTGGCCTCCCCACTCCTCTTTCTCGCATTCCAGAACACTTTTATACGAACTTTCCGGACAGACCTCGTACCACACAAAAAGGTATTATAATAAATTTATCTATATGAAAAGTTTGTTAAAAGATTTATCTATATACCTGACCGAATTAGTACGTTTAGAACATTTTCAAGGGTTTATTTTACGCTAGTTTTTTCTCGTACAAACAATTCAAGAACAATCATGACTACCAACATACTTAAGATTAATACATTTTCGAAAGATCGAAATTTAGGCAATATCGTTCTTGTTTTTTTTTAATGAGTGATAATGGAATGGTAACCCCGCGTGCGGTATCAGTATACGATAGGAATGGCCTGATAGCCCCATTGCTAGCAATATACCTTATCAGGTCGACATCCACTTAGTTCCCCCTGGAACCCATAGTGGTTAATTTTTGTGAAAGTCTTCACAATGGACTAACTGACCTGCTTTCATCTTCACCCATCATTTATCACTGGTGCCTCGTCAGTGTATACTGATAAGGCCAGGCAGGTTACCATTCCATTATCATCCATAAAAATATTCCGTATTGGCGAAAATGTAACTGATGCAAGGGTCTTATGTAAAGGAAAGTGGTGCGTTCAATGACCTCCGCTTGTCCCACTGAGAAAAATGCTTTACATCACTAGTTAACTGACCTTCAGTATAACCTTCTCCGGATTGACATCATACACGCCGACTTCTGACGCCATCACCAGAATATTCTCGCTTGTCACGTAGAAGCGTGATGGCCGCAAACCGTTTCTGTCCAAGATGGCACCTGAAATTATGAATAAAATGTTTAGTATTCACATTTTTCTTTTAACAACATAGGGGACAAACGAGCATGCGGCTCACCTGATGGTAAGTGACTACCGCCGCCCATGATCACCCACAACACCAGCGGCATTGCAGGTGTGCTGTCGGCCTTTTAAAAAGGAATATACTCTTTTCTTGAAGGTTATGTTGTCGTATCGGTTCGGAAATACTGCTGCTGGAAGTTGATTCCAAAGAATGGTTGAAGAAAGTGCCTCATCACATAATAATAAGATTATATAAAATTATAAATAAAAAAATCCCGTGTGGTCCCGGCATAGAATACGCTAGCCCTTCTACCTACCATATTATTTATAGAAGTTAAAAGTAACTTACCAATGTACCGTCCATCGGTAAAGGAAACCAAAGCAGGCCCATCCCAGGGCTCCATAGCGGAGGAGGCCCACTGGTAGTAGTCGCGCTTCTCTTTCGGCATGGTCGCGTCGTTCTGCCAAGCTTCTGGCACCATCGTCATCACAGCTTCTGGCAGCGATCGTTGGCCGCAGTGCAGCAGGAACTCGAGCACGCAGTCGGCCGACCCGGAGTCGGATAGATTAGGCTCCACAACCGGGTACAGTTTTTTGAGATCTATAAATGAATTAATAGATATGTAAAAGATGGTAAGAGACTTGAATAAACGTGGTCACCATAGACCAGGTTACATCTTCCTCCAGTTATGGCAAAACTCTCTGTCAAATCGACGTCCACATGGTACCTCCTGGAAACCACCATGGTCAATTCTTGGTGTATACGTCACGATGGGTATTTAACCCATTGTCACTTGCTTTCATCCTCACCTCATCATTCACCGGTATGTACCAGCAAATTTTGGTAGAGCAGGTAGGGTGAGAATTCCATTATTGCCTTTAATGGTCAAATCGTCGTGATGCCTCGGGTTAATTATCATATTTTAGCTAAACGAACGCGTTAATTTTTTTTTTTTTTTTATAAATCACAAGTTATAAAACGCGAAAAAAGTTACGTCTAAAAGCTAATACTCGAAGTATGGGGTTTTTCAAAAGGGGGTAAAGAGGTTTCATCGGGTGGGCCGTATGCTTGTTTGCCACCTCAGTGGTATAAAAAAAAAATGAAAAATAAATTACCTATTAATCAGTAATAATTTTTTAATGGAATTCAGAAATAAAATATAAGGCAAATGTCCACATCTGTAGATCAGTCGATAAAAAATATGCAAATATCTACGTAACCGTTCACATCACGGTTCACTCCCATAATATTGTTATATCCAGATACCATCAACATTTCAATTATTAATTGTCCACCTGTTAACTTTCCCTGCTCCCCATTTACTGCTAATTGGTCCTGAATCACTTAACACGTCTAAACAACTACTGTTGATTATTAAAACAATATGTGACATACCATCACCAAAGAGTTCGCTCTTCATAACTCCCTCGCGAGCCTTCATCAGGTTAACGTTACCTCGTAACGTATTTATTTCGCCATTGTGGGCAAGCACTCTGTAAAACAAAAATAATATATACAACTTAATTTAATAATAATATAACATAATTATATATTTATATTGTGTATTGCCTTAATGTGTTACTATAATTGTCACATATTTTCCACCACATCCGCCCTTCATACGCTTTCTGTTTTTACCCAATGGTTAGCTGGTAGAGAATGCCATATGGCATTAAGCTCGCCATTTGTACAAAATTTTATTGTGCAATAAAGAATAAATAAATAAATAAATAAATAATTTATTTATTTATTACATTACATCTACTGGATGAGCTTTACAGTCTTCCAATACGCTCACCCAGGAAATCATCAGTATCAGTACAATAACATATATAAAAAAGAAATAATATACATAAATAAATTTAATTTCTAAATTTCTGCACACAAACACCTTGTTTTACATTCGACGAAACCCCAGCAACATAATTTTTTTTTACACAACTTAGAATGGCAAGCAAGCTGACGGCCCACCTGATGGAAAGTGGTAACCGTCGCCTATAGACATGAGCAGTACCATGGACATAACAGAGTATACTGTTTCGCCCATGATACTCCCCATGCGTTGCCATTCCTGAGGACTCAGGTGTTATTCCTCTGTACCCTGTAAATTTACGCCATATCCCACCCTTCAAACCGAAACACAGCCATGCAAACACAACTGCTTCACGGTTGAAACACGAATGGGACAGAGGTACCCAAGCAATCTACTTTTGTACAAAGTCTGCCTCTGGTGAATTATATATTTATTACTAATTATAATAATTTAATCTTCTTTTTATATTATTCCATTTATTCATGTGTATTATTCCTTTTTTATATATGTTATTGTACTGATGCTTTCTTGTTCGAGCGTATTGGAAGACTGTAAAGCTCATCTAGTGGATATAAAAAATAAATAAATAATTCCTTTTGTTTATGTACATATTGTTAATATTTATAATCTGTGTCATTCTTTAAAGGGAACAATAAAGAATTTTTATTCATCCATAACTGCCAGTTTACCTGACTGGAAGTAGTAAACGAATGCCTATAGACATGAACAGTACCGGGAAAGTCACATAATACATTGATTGATGCCTATAGAATTCCTCGTGCGATGACCATCGAACTTATAACAGCTCTTTTATAATTAAAGGTAGTGTCCCATAAAAAAAAAAAACATGATTTTAGTTGCGATAAAATCAGTTATTTTGATTACAAAACTAAAATACTGGCTCGATTTTGATAAAATTTCTATGAAACCAATCTGTAAGTATATCCTTTTAGGTAAAAAAAATCCAAATCGTTTAATAGCTGACATGAGGTAACAAGCAACCTTTATCTGATCAGAAAATGCAAGTATGTAATCTAATCAAGAAATGTAGTGTATAAAAATATGCGTGTTAAAATATGTCCGAACGTGAGGTCAATGTATCGTAAGAACTCTCCAGATCATTGACGTAATTGAACATTCAGTCAATAGACTATTCAGAAGTTAACAATATAAAGAATGGCGTCAATCAAGCTCGTTCTACCTTATTACTCAATTTGCACCTATTATACAAGTAGGTATTTAAATTTTTTTATATTGTATGCAATGCAATTACAGACGTAACATAAATTGATTAAAAAAAACAATAAAGAAATAATATATGTATTAAAATTAAAAACAAATACTTTGGACTTGAACGAATTAAACAACGTTTTATTATACATACTAGCTATTATGCATATAATTTATTATCTCTATAAAATGTAATGTTGCCATATTAAAAGGAGCCTAATTTCATTTTGCAGTTTCATTATTCTTTCATACTTCGTTCATTAAAAATCCATGGTATCTTTATCAGTTAAAAATAGATTTACCTCAATGGATGTGCTCTTTCCCAGCTGGGGAAAGTGTTGGTAGAGAATCTGGTGTGGACCAACGCCAGGTAAGTGGTGAACGCCGGATTGCTTAGGTCCTTGAAGTATTCCTGCCAGCAGAAATATTATAACGTAATGTATAATTTCCGTGTTGTTTCGGCATAAAATTGGCCACCTCTTCCCTTTCTGTTGTCGCATTTATCATTGAAATAATAATAACAACAAAATGCGGCAAAAAAAAACTTATTTTTTATAAAGGACTTAAACATTTAATTAAATTGAAAATTAGTAAAAATTGTTAATGTAAGGTGTTATAAAAGGTGATTAAGAGAACTTAATGATCGAGGGATGGGCAACCGCGTCCTTCTTAAAACATCACCAAAAACCAAACTGCGGTTGATAACTCGCTTGCCAATCGTGGCAACTACTGGCAAAACCCACCAATAGGGGGAGACCTATGTTCAGCAGTGGACTGTTGACGACTGATATGATGGTATATATTATATTCATCATTTTATATATACTAGTCGATTGCTTGGGTACCTCTGTCCCATACGTGTTTTTATCGTGAAGCAGTTGTGTTTGCACAGCTGTTTCGGTTTGAAGGGCGGGATATGGCGTGAATTTACAGGGTACAGAAGAATAACACCTGAGTCCTCAGGAATGGCAACGCATGGGGGGTATCATGGGCGAAACAGTACGCTGTATGTCCATGGTACTGCTCATGTCTATAGGCGACGGTTACCACTTTCCATCAGGTGGGCCATCAGCTTGTTTGAAATTCTAAGTCGTATAAAAAAAAATATAACTTTTATGTCACACTTATTAAGTATGCATTATTTATTATTATTACCTATTCTAATAATGAATTACGTGATTCACTGTTCATCCTAAAGACTGACTGGTAGAGAATGCTACTAGCATTAAGTCCGCCTTTTGTACTATATTTTTTTTTTCATCAATAAAGTCCTATTAATTAAATAAAAATATTTTAAAAACACTTACCCATAGTTGATTCGAAGTGAGCAGTCCCTTATAGACAACGGTCTTCAGCGAGAGACTGCAAATGTAGAACCTCGCGCCGGGCACGACCAACTCGTGGGAGGCACGCTTGCGTAGCACGAACACCTGCGGACACGCGCGTACACGCACTGTTACACATCAACACAGACAACTAAGGTGAGAAGCTAAGGGATGTATCTATAGGTATATGTTTTTACATTTGGTACGTCGCTCCTCGCCCCGCCTGGCCAGTGCGCGCGACAACGATCTGAAAAAAACCTTTGGAGAGTGCCTTTCCACCTGATCCCTCTATTTCTTACACGAGTTTGAATTCGCAACACGGGAACGCCGTTGCAAATTCATACTCTTCGACTTAGGTAAACTCCTTTATAAACGGCTAGGCTCCCTCTTGGTTATTCTTACCTGGCGAGCTAGCTTCTCGTCTTCCAAATCTCCAGTAACAAACACTTGACGCATAAATGGCTCCGAGTTACGAGCCACCTGACCTGAAAGCCAGCCAAAAGAGGCCATTACTAACTTCACCAAGGGGAGTATTAACAACTTGTTTAATTAATTACAATAATACACTAATTATGGAGTAGTGTCCTATTAATATACGCTTATGGTATGAAATGAATATTCATAATGGAAAACGTCATAAATGCCATGATAATAAATATTCAATGAAATTATATTCTTATTAATATTGATCAACAATGGGAGCATTTATGACAATTTGAATTAAAAAAAAAAAAAAACTATGCATTTATCTAAGATATTTACCTTATACATTACATAAATAATTGATATTTATGCAACTTAATGTTTAACGTAAGATTCATTATTACTGGGACAAACAAATACCTAAATAGCAGTATTTTTACTATATGGCGACAAATTAAATTGATTAATGAATCCCAAGTTAATTACAATATAATCTTCTCATTAAGACTTTACGAATGAGAAATAATTACGCAATAATAACGAGCTAGACTTGATACATAGAATATGTTTTTATTTAAATTATAATTTAACAATGTTTAAGAATTATTGCATTATTTCTGCTATCGTAATAGTCCTATAGATGTCGGCCATCATAGTCATATGAACAATTTAGTTTTGACACTAAAAATTTCATAAGAATATGATGGTACGAGTTTTGGTACTTAGATACGTTAAACTCACTTATAGACCGCTCCAAAATATGTTATTCAATATCTATATTTAAATAATTTGAAAAAAGAACAAAAAAAAAGTTATTAATAAAATTATATTCTTTTTTTAAATCTGTTACGTGATATGTTCGTAATTCTTGGAAGACATAAACATCATACCGTACTATTTTGTTTTTTAGTAATTTAATTCCAACATAAGTTGGAGGCGAGAAACGAGTGAGTTTACCACACCGCATGTACCTTCAGATGTTAAATTGAACAAACCAGATGGTCAAGGATCGCATGACCGCGGCGACCCATTGATTCGAACAAGTCTCAACTACGTGTACGACCTGCAATGATAGTCGCAAACATATCGCAACACCGTCACTGTCCTTATGCACAAAGCGATAGAATAGCATGACAATCTTTGTAATGAGGATCTGGACTTGACACTGATGGGCTAACCCTTGAATGAATGGCATTGAATACAAACATAACAAATCTAATTTTTGTGTGGAACATAAAAATTTGAACAGGGTTGCCACAAACTTACAACGAAACGACATATAGGCATATACTTTTGTAATTCAACTGATATAATTATATTTTCGTTTTAATATACAGAATCTACACATAACAAGCCTTTATTTATGCATTAAAAAACCTCGAGTAATAAAAAAAACTCTTTAAACATTTCTCTACAATTTGCGTATATTATTTTTAAACCAATGAATTAATATAAAAATAAATCAAAACTTTCCTGATATTTATTTAAGTGAAATCTAAATATTTTAACTCAAATAAAAGCTTGTAATATTATAAAAGAGTTCACAAAAGGTAATATTTAAAAAACTTTGAACATTTACAATAGGAATAAGTGTACAGTTAGGGGTCAATGTCGACTGCCATTGTTCTCACCAAGAGCACCATATTACTACATGGAAGTCGTCACATATAAACTCCTACCTAGACTTCATATACGGCTTCTTATTATTAAAATTTATATAGAGCATATATGCAATTTAACATTTTTTTTTATAACATTGGGGACAAATGAGCGTGCGCTCACCTGATGGTGACTATCGTCACCTATGAGTACTATTTTACCAGAGGGAGACTTTGTACAAAAGTCGATTGCTTGGGTACCTCTGTCCCATTTGTGTTTCTACCGTGGAGCAGTTGTGTTTGCATGGCTGTGTTTCGGTTTGAAGAGTGGGATATGGCGTGTATTTACAGGGTATAGAGGAATAACACCTGAGTCCTCAGTTGTTGGGTGGTGGCATGGGGGGTATAATGGGCGAAACAGTACACTCTGTTATGTACATAGTACTGTTCCTGTCTATAGGCGACGGTTACCACTTTCCATCAGGTGGGCTGTCAGCTTGTTTGCCATTCTAAGTTGTATAAAAATAAAAAAAGTACTTGCAACCCCGGAAGAATTGCAGGTGTGCTGTAGGCTTTTTGAAATGAAATGTGCTCTTTGACAAAAGATAATTCAAATTAAACATTAGTCTATCACAATCATCATAAACTGAACAACAATCATCCAACAATGAAGGTAATGACGATACCAGTATACAAGATCAGTTAACTTACACTTTAACTATTTTTTTTTAATACGCAGGCTATATTTAAAATAAATTATGTAACGTAGTGTTTTGTAAATGTAGAAATAAAAGAAAATCAAACCGGTCAGGTGCGAGTTGAACTCACACACCGAGGGTTCCACATATAAAATGACCTTCATTTCATTTGCTCCAGAAACCTCGGACAAAGAGGGTGTGGTTCTTTCTCTCACATTTCAACCATAATTAAAAAACTACGGAGCATAAAAATAAATAAAATTATTTTTTTATTTCTTTCATATGACAATCCACTTGGACTAGTAGGTCAATTTCGAAATTTTGAGTATACCTTTTTGGACTACGCAGCAAAAAATAAAAATATATTTTTTCAATTATTTTCATCGAAATATAAACTATTCCATTCCAAATCAATAATAATAGTAGTTGCTGAGATATAACCCTCTTACGAACAGACAGACGGACGGATAAAGTAGCACCATAAGGGTTCCTTTATACCTTTTTAATACGTAACCTTAAAAATATATGATTTGTACTGATAAAATGAAAAGCTTTTTAAAATACCCCGTAAGGAATTGCGCGCTGTAGATAACAATGATACTTCCTATTGTAAATGTTCTAGAAATTAACATGTATCATATTCGCCACCATTTTACAAATTCAGTAACTTAATAAAATTTATAACCTCAACGCACACTGCACTATCACTCCCAGTTTAATCACATACAAATAAATTACTGAAATTGAATGGAGTATTAATATTTACGTACACAATATTTTCCTAGTACTATGCAGCAACCCCGTTAGTGCATGATTCAGTCCAGCCCCTACATGCAATGAACCGATCCTAAGACTAAATTATACCATCACAAAGTTGCCTCCAACTTACCGATGGTGGAATTGTTGGTGGGCACTGTCCTCCAGCAGAGGACTCGGAGACCGAGGCTCTCTGAGAGCTCTTGGAACCTTTTCTCGATGTCCTGATGGTGAAGCTTGTCCAGGAAGAAGATGCCAGTAGCGTATCGGCCAAAATCTGGCAAATCTATTTGATGAGAGTCTCTGTAAAGAGAAAACCTTTTATTAATTATTTGCTGGTAAGGACTTTTAATGGACTTCTAAATGGATAAGATAATGTAAGACGTATGTCAGTTTATTTTCTTTAAAATTTTTCTTGTTAAACATGATTTTTTTATACCACTGAGGTGACAAATAAGCATACGGTCCACCTGATGGTGAGCTGTTTGTTACCGTAGTCTATGAACGCCTGCAATACCAGGAGCATTACGCGCGCGTTGCTTCCCTGAAGAAACCTCTTTACCCTTTTTTTTGAAAAACCTCATTCTGTAATCTCCTAAAAAACTTCAACAGGGAGTTCATTTCATACTCTGGGCGTTCGTCTGAGAAAACATCTCTAAAATCGCGCCGTATCTAAACTCTAAGTTATGGGGGAGAACTCTTTGTTTATGGCGAGCTGTAAGATGATAAAAAATGGCTGTGTCATGTTAAACAATCCATCTAATTACAATCTATTGTGCAAGCGGTTGAACACGCAGAGAGAGGCAAAATCTCTCCCAAGACTTCTCTTATCAAAACAAATATTTTTCTTTGCATCAAGTATATAAAAGACAAAGCCGCAAATATATATGTAAATAAATTAATCAACTTTGTTAAACATAAAAAGGTGTTCTGTTTAATTTAGACAGTTTACACAACTAATATTTTGATCTATTCAATCGTCATTTGTTCTGGGAAATTAACCTAAATAGATACGAGATGTCAATATTTTTACTGCAATAAAACAATCATACAGTTGTGTTTGCATGGCTGTGTTTCGGTTTGAAGGACGGGATATGGCGTGAATTTACTGTTTATTACTTAATTTACTTTATTACTTTACGTGTTTGTTTTATTTCAACCGGTACATAAGTAAACAAAACTTATATTAATCTAAAGAATCGCATATAAAATGTTCTAAAATAACAGATCGATTTAATTGGCTGAAACTTTATGAAGGTATTGGGTACGTAATTATCATTTAAGTGTATAATACAATGAGGAATGAGTGATTGCTCAGAGGTTGTAGCGCTAATGCAAGTTGAGCAACCTCGGCCGTGGGTACAAATAGGATGGGTGACCACAATCCGTACTATACGCGATGGAGGCTACTTTTTATCACAGTTAGTAAATATGCCCAGGCCACACTAACGAAGTCGCGGGCGAAAGCTAGTATATGAAATATAAAGCACGTAAAGGTCAGACGGGTACGCATTGCACGCAAACGGGGAACTGAGGTGCGCGCGCAGTGACGTCACAAATCAATCTCGCAGCACTACTGACCAACAGACTCCCGCGATAGCACTGCACTCTATAATATTTACAACTAAAATTCATAAAAAATATTGTCTTCAATCGCGAATTAATAAATATAGAACTGCCATGGACAGAAATCCTGTCAAATACAAAAAAAGACTTATAATAATCGGTGCGGAAACAACGAAGAAAACTTTCGAGTTCTTGAGCTTAAAATCTAATGATACAGTGTTTTCTTTTTAATTTGCAAATACTGAAATGTTAATTATTTCTGGAACTTTAAAAACCGCACTTGTATATAAAACCTGTACGAGCGTTGGGGGATGCCCTTCAGACAAGGTCATATCCAAGAAAATCCAAACGGATGGCAACTCTTACGAGTATATACGAGAGATCACTTCGCTCCAGCTGCCGTAGGATGCACATTGCGTCACATCTATGTCTTCACTGTGCTTATAGTTTTCAACTTATAACAGGAATTCCTAATAACCATTTTCCAGAATTATTATTATTACTAAAAACGTGGGTTTGCTATCCGTGTGGTTTCACATTAATTTTGTTGTTTGCATATAAAAAATAATAAAACATGCAAATTTGGAATGGAAAACAAGCTGACAGTTCACCTGATAAAAATTCAGTAGCTGTTAGCTATAAACATGAACAGTACTGCGTGTAACAAAGAATATACTGCGATGTTCACAGCATCTCTCAAGTAATGCCATTCCTAAGTACTAAAAAAGTAAAGTAAAGTAGTTGTGTTTGCATGGCTGTGTTTCGGTTTGAAGGGTGGGATATGGCGTGAATTTACAGGGTACAGAGGAATAACACCTGAGTCTTCAAGAATGGCAACGCATGTGGGGTATCATGGGTGAAATAGTATACTCTGTTATGTCCATGGTACTGCTCATGTCTATAGGCGACGGTTACCACGTTCCATCAGGTGGGCCGTCAGCTTGTTTGCCAATCTAAGTTGTATAAAAAAACTAAGATATTCCTTTTTTATTGATGAATATACCGTGCTACCGGTATACGCTAACAGGGCACCAGTGACAGATAATAGGTGAGAACGAAAGCTACTTATTTAGCCTGTCATAGCGAACTCAACATAAATTTACCGCGATGGTTTTCAGGGGAAACCATGTGGAGATCAACCTGACTGGGTGTATTGAACACTAAGATGTTACAACTCCGAATAAGATCAGCTTTTTTGCAGCATAAACAAGAGCAGTAGAGGTGTGCCCAAGCAGAAGATTTGTACAAAGTATTCCTCTAGTAAATGACAAATTACTGTGTCTTCCCTTAAAATCTTTAAAAAATTCTTAAATATTAGGCAAAATAACAATGTGCAAAAGCTATAACATTAATGGCTGTCCCAAATTAATTCCGCAAAGTATTTTAGCCGATACCACATGCCATTAATGGAGTAATTGGAAAACCCTATACACAAATACATGGGCAATTTGGTTAGATGGTAGATACACAATAACAACCATTAAAAGGCATTCATGGGGAAAATTCCGATGGAAATTGATATATGTATATAAACTATTATAAAAATTATGTAAACACCTATAATTCAGAAGTGAATACATGGACAAACTCTCGACCGATGGGTGTGCAATCGATTCGCAATATTTGGCAGAGACTGAATTAGAAATATACAAAACAGAGAAAACCTTAAAATTTTAACAACCTTAGTTGTTGTAGTTGTTGGGGGGGGAGGGGGATTAGTGTTAGTAAAGGGGGTTAGCGGCCGTATTTTTTAATGGGTGATAGTGGAGTGGTAACTCCGTTTGCGCTATCGGTAAACATTGGCAATGCACCAGTGAGATATGATGGATGAAAGCAAGTTAGTTGGTCCATTGTGACGAATTTCATAAGTATGAACTAAAATGATTTTCAAGGTCAATCGCATCGAGGTCAACCTGATAGGGTATATTGTCAGCAATGGATCTGCTAGATCCCATTACTAAAAATCCCGTTTTTCCCTAGCGGCTCTATTAGTTGCAACATTGACCTCGATTTTCACGCGATCTCCACAGAAATCATCGTGGTTAATTTCTGATCAAATCATCACGATGGACTAACTGACCTGAGTTCATCATCAACTATTATCCTTCAGTTGATACAAATAGTACAAATCTACATAAACGTCCAGCATAAATCTTAATAATGACTATGATAAACAAAATTGAGACATCATTTGATCAAAACAAAATTTTATAGCGCCGTCTGTGACACTGAAATTTTCTTGGAATTTTCAAGAGTATTATGTTTATTACACACAGAAATAGACGATAGACCCAGTTTTTATTTCCATGAAAACAGCTCGACAGACTGATCAATATTGTTTACCTCAGGCTTTATATAAAAATAACATCTTGTCGCGTAGTTATTTTCGACTATAGACCGCGAGAAGAGTATAAACATGCTAACTCTTAATGTAAATATATTTCATGCATCAATCATAATTTAGTGCATACATAGTACATATAATGTACAGTAGGGCAGTTATAAAACAAAGTGCCTTGACAGCGTACTAAGAAGAAAATTAATTATGTCTTGAAAACAAACGGAGAACTAATGTGTCCGTGCACCTGGTAGCCATTAGACAATCAGCGTTGTTTTGGACTTTGACGCCAATGTTCTGAGTACATTATGTGAAACTATTTTAAAATATTTATGAGTTAAAACCCATAAAGATTGCGCTTTGAGAAAAATAACGATGTCAATCGATTCGAAAAATTTTGATCGCGATAAAACTAATATGGCAACACACATGGTCAACACGGGAGTAAATCCTATTGAAATCAATAGTAGTAAGTCGTGGTAAGTTTTGGAACGATTCAGATGGATATATCAGAAGTGGGGGAGAGCTGAGTATGTCAGGCGACCGGATACATAGGGTTGCCAACTGTAGGTATTGGGTAAGGTACTAGCCGAACTAGATACTGGAAGTATATCTAAATATAAAATTTCGTGCTATTTTAGAATTAGATTTAAAAAAAAATATGGCTTTTCATTTAAAATTTTAAAGTTGACCTTCAAGTTACGCTCAGTGTTATCGACAAGGTCAACACTAGGTTTTTGAAGTTCAACAATCATTGTAGAGACATTTATTTTTTATTTTTGGTATATACTTTTAGAAAATTAGCTATTCCAGTAACTTTGTTACACCTGTATATCCCAGAAATCGTTTATAATAAAAAAAAATAAATAAATAAAAAAATATGCAATTGTTAGCCCTGTGGACTACAATCACTTACAATTTACTGACATTATCCTGCACTTTGAAACCGTCTCATGTAATACGAACACGCTGATTGCACCTCGAGAAAATTATATTCTTGTCACATGCGATAAAGATTTTGTAGCCCCTAACCTTATTTTTATTTATTTATTCTGTAACCTATGATACTGACTGGGAAGGAGAAGGGATTGTTAGTAATGTACCTGTCGAAAATCTTATTTAAAAAAAAAGACTGCAAAACTTTCAACTAGTTCTTAAGTGATAACATTGATCAATGAAACATTGTAAACCTATAAACAAGTGATAAATATAATATTACGCATAATGTTATGTATAATGTTTAGAGATAGCTGTTTCTTGTAGCATAATTAGAGATAACAATAATTGTTGTTCAGTCAACCGGATTCACAATTAAACAATAAGTTCATTACCACGATGTTGGTTATTCGCTACTCGATGAAGCATATCCTAAATGAATCGTAACTCACGTAAACCCGCA